TTTCAACAGGAGTGTGTGCAGTTTTGTGTGTGTGCGTTGTCAAGTCAGAGAGTAATGTGCTCCCAAAGAGAAACTTGTTCCAATTTTGGGATCTGGCGTAAAGCTGCAGGAACTAGTTGTTGGAGGTTTGCAGTTAGCAGCGCTGTAATTTTTACTTTACTCAGGTACTCGTCTTGTACTCTAAGACAGACCTTCAAGTATTAATTACTGGTGAGCTTTATGTATTTGTCCTCGACTGTAGGAGTCATAGGTATGGGTTGTAATACATTGCTTGTTATGGTGTGTTGGGTATAAAGAAAAGTAAAACATAGGAAAAACATGTAACAAAAAGTCCCAAAAATATCACAGCGTTTGTTGAACCTGATGTTGAGTCTTTTCAGTGTTAAAGATGACTAAAAAAATCCTGATGTGTTTTTTGTCTAGAAGTACAAAACACTTTTTAAAAAGAATTTTGTCACAGAAATGTAATTCACAATTGAATTACATGCACAAATAAAACTTTATTAAATAAACTTTCTAGTGACATTTTATTGAAGACATGTGAAATCAGACCATTATGCAACACAGGAATAAATATCTAGTCATTGTATCCAGTTTTATTGTTTTTGACCGGACTTTGTTTCTTTTTAATTTGTCAACATTTATTTTGTCCTTAATAAAACTGAACCAACTGTAGTTTGTCGTGGCCCGGCCTCAGGCTTCCGTTCTGCGCAGCAGTGGTGAGAACAGTGTGTTACAGCCCTGACTCCTCTCCTGTGAGTTGTTAGTTCTTATGTAACACACTCCATGCAGCTTATCCAGCAATGAGATTTACTGAGCTCAGTTTTTGGCTTGCGGGTTACACACTGTGGATTTGGGTGGTGTTACGCAATACTACAGAAAACAGTTGTCGTCCACCAACAATTTCATTTATCGTCAGTGAACTCGTTCCCCTGATTCCTGCAGGGAGACTCTGTCTTTGGGTGATTTGGTTCAAAATACAGCTGTTGTTACTTTATAATAATAATCCAATATGTACAGCAGTTGCAGTAAATTGAGTTTCCAGAAGAATTAAAAAAAAGTCTTTGTCTTTTCTCAGCTGTTCCTGATTTAGTATCACAGCACTGGGGTTTTTATCCAAATGTTAGGCTTTGCATTGATTTGGTGGAGAAGGTGTTTGGATTATTTTAAGACAACTTTGTATTTATGTTCATTTCATTCTAATCTAAACCCATGAATTTTCTCTGTTCTGTCTTAGGGTGCATGTGACTACTTCTCTCCGTGACATCTGAATCCCGGTCGACCTTTTCCTCCCTCCTTCCCGGACCCTTCCTCCCCCATTTCACCCTCACCCTGTCCTCCCTCCCCCAAAGCCAGACTGTCATCCATGGCGCTGGATAAGCTTCGGCGTTTTGGGCAGCAGTTGCTGAGGGTGAAGGTGGTGGACTGTAGCACAGAAGACTCGCATCTCTGTCGATGTCTTAACACCTTTGACCTGGTGGCCCTGGGCGTGGGCAGCACGCTGGGCGCTGGTGTTTATGTGCTGGCCGGTGCTGTTGCTAGAGAGAATTCTGGTGAGTTCAGACGTGTGTTTAGTTAAATCAGAAGACATCGCTGCTGTCAGGATTTCTAACGGATCGTTCTCTCCGCCCCAGGTCCTGCCATTGTGCTGTCTTTCTTGATAGCCGCCTTAGCCTCTGTGCTGGCGGGACTGTGCTATGCTGAGTTTGGAGCTCGTGTCCCCAAGACAGGATCAGCTTACCTTTACTCTTATGTGACTGTGGGAGAGCTCTGGGCCTTTATCACTGGATGGAACCTCATTCTCTCCTATGTCATTGGTAAATATCATGACATTTGACATTAGTTTAGGGCCTAAAAAAATCAACTGTACTGTGTAAACTCTCATAAAATATGGGGTATTTCAGATCATTTCTTCATGTTTCTGTTTTTCATGTCAGGCACATCCAGTGTGGCCCGTGCATGGAGTGCCACCTTTGACGAGTTGGTAGGAAAGCGCATAGAGGAGTTCTGCAAAGAGTACATGTCTATGGATGCACCAGGTATACTGGCTGAGTACCCTGACATGTTTGCAGTTCTCATCATATTCATTCTCACAGGTGAGGAAACCTGCCGTCTAAGCAGATCTCTATATATTTACTAGCTGTATGTTGTTTAAAAAAAAGAATGAAACTCTTTACAACATCTAGATGAGATGATTTTCCAGATCAGACTTTGTCACGTCTGCATTGATGTTTTTCAGGTCTGCTGGCATTTGGAGTTAAAGAGTCAGCGATCGTAAACAAAGTCTTCACATGTATCAACATCCTGGTCCTGATGTTCATGGTCATCTCTGGCCTGGTCAAGGGAACTCTGAAGAACTGGCACTTAGACCCTGAGGAAATCCTCCATGCTTCAAGGGCTAACTTTAGTCTTAAGTAAGAATTAAAATTAAATTAAATGGGAATATTAATAAATCCACTGGAGATTATTAACCAATGAGGTTTATTGTTTTATTCCTCCAGTTTAACCAGTGTCCTACCAACCAGAGAGAGTTTAGGAGCAGGCGGCTTCATGCCATTCGGCTTCACTGGCGTCCTCTCCGGTGCCGCAACCTGTTTTTATGCTTTTGTTGGATTTGACTGCATCGCCACCACAGGTCAGTGCTGGAACAAACCAGATAATACCACTTGCTACGGTAGAGTTGTGTGGGGGTTGGTGTAACAGGAGCTGGATTTGGGACCATGTCAATGCTATGCTTGTTTAAACTTCCAGAAGTGTTACATAAGATGGAGGGGGAGGGTGGCGTGAAGAGAAAAGATGCACTCTAGTGTGTTTGGCCCAACCTGTGGCTGGAAGCCGTTCACTGTAGCGAAGGCCGAGAAACTAAATCAATCAAGATGTTTTGGATTAAGCTGTAGGGGGAGGTGTTTCCATTCCGTTGTCCAAGTCCACACCTGTGTGTCTTCTTAGAGGCTTTATTTTAATACATTGTGGCCTTTGAGTCATAAAACGGGGAGTGTGTCCTGTTTTCTGCCCCCATTCCCACCCATGACATTTCCCACCCCTCTTTTCCTGAATTCTTATTGGCTGAGTGAATAAACCCTGGACTGTCATTTGAGGTTGGCCTGTGCAGTCTGTCTGTCTCTCTCACTCATTCTCTCTTGCTCTCTCTCATACACACACACTTACACACACACACACATTGGCAGCCAGTTCTCTGCCACTATATCATCTGTGTCTACTGTTATTCCTACCTCTGTGAGGACCAGTTTGTTTTTTTGAAGAAGCAGCCACAGCTTTTTAATTCATTTCACTGCAGTAAGACTGAGGAAGTATACAGAACAGATCGTGTTTTCTCACCCAGCTACAAATACAAGAGTGTGTTCTGTGATCCTAGAGTAAAGTTGCCACACAGCAGTCGTCCCACTCCCTGTCCTCATAACACACAACGCAGCCATACATTACATCCTCGAGCCGCGGTCAAGCCCATGACCCTGACCTTCCCGTTTTTGTGTCAACTCACTCACACACACACACACACACACCCTGTCTTTATGAATGGTGGTGTCTTCAACATGCTCCTGTGCACACACTGCAGTGTGATCTCACTCCACAACAAGATGTGAAAGTGGTGTGCTCAGCAGCCACTGCTGTTGACCGACTGCTTCCAAGCTGTGTCTCCGTCTCGTGGCGACACGGGGGGAAAATAAGCTCCTTGTTCGATTGTGCTGCAAAATGCCATCGGGGATGTTTCTGAAATGCATCTGCTTTGCCCAGTTTTAACTTTCTTTTTTTTCCTGTGGAATCCTGTCAGTTCAGCCAAAGGGAGTGGAAGCTGTTGACAGTTTTTCCAGCATTGTCTGTCAGTGCTTTAACACCGTTGCTGAACAGTTCAGAGAAACATACCTTTAGTCAGCAACAACATTACGAACGGATATATTTATATCTAAATTCATTCACCTTGCAGAAGCCTCATGACCCCCGAGTTGGTGCCCACCCCCACTTTGGCAACTGCTGTGTTAGGGTTACTTTCAGAAGGAGAAAGTTTACGTAAAAGTTGGCTCATTTAGTAAAATTGTCAGTTCTGTATAAACTGTATTTCACCGTCTCCCCCTCGTACAATAGGTGAGGAGGTGAAGAACCCCCAGAGAGCCATCCCTATCGGCATCGTCTCCTCGCTGCTCATCTGCTTCGTTGCTTACTTCGGCGTCTCTGCCGCCCTCACCCTCATGATGCCTTACTACCTGCTGGACAGCAACAGCCCTTTGCCTATAGCCTTCAACTACGTGGGCTGGGGCGGAGCCAAGTATGCTGTAGCTGTGGGTTCTTTGTGTGCTCTGTCTACAAGGTAAGAGGTTTGTGTGTGTGCGTGCATGTGTGTGTGCGTGTGTTGAGGTATATTTAGTACCAGAAAGCATTTGATTTCTTAACTGTAATAGAATCCCAGTCTGTGATTATATAAGTGACTGATGTCACCAAAGGACACCAGCTGCTAAATAACTAATATCTCATTATTAGGTGTAAAATAATAATAGACATACATTTTTATAGTATTAGTGATTTAATATTCCATGATAAATTATTTATATTTATATATATTTTTTTAGGTAATGTTGATGAATGTCGAAAGATGCTCATATAAAACATGCACCATTGTCGTATATGAGTCATTGTGTTGGGTATATATCATATGTGCTGTGCTGTGTATATTTATGCATGTGTCTCTTTGTATGTTTTATGGCATTTTCTTGGGTGTATGTGTGGATACTATCGAACCTTGGCTCCGCCCCCGGTAGCCTGCTGGGTGCTATGTTCCCTATGCCCCATCTTATCTGGGTTACGGCCAGTGATGGGCTGCTTTTCAAGTTCATGGCCGTCATCAGTCTCATTACCAAACCCTGATTATTGCAACTCTCACCTCAGGCATAGGGGCAGGTGAGATACTAACACGCATGTTGTAAACAGCACTTATCTACACTGAGGCTACTTTTCACACTGCTAAACCCCGAGCACTGTCAGATTAACCACAGCAGTTTTTTGTTTTGTCAGTGATGTGACTTTTTTACTGTCATAGAAAACCTGCTTTCAAAAAACTGATAAACAACGTGGTGAAATGATCAAAAGTTTATTCTGATTAATCACGAATAATCATGATTAATCATTATCGCAATTATTTATGATTAATTGAAATAATTTGAGATAAATCAACTTTTCTACATATACATTATTAAAGCAGACAGAAATATATATGTGACCAGTCTAAATGCTAAAAATGCTAATATAGAAAAATGCAAAGAAAAATATGAAAAATAAGAAAACTTATTTGATATGATTAACATTAACACTACTTTTTTTAGCCACCATCAAATCCTTCTTTAGTGTCTTTTTGGAAGTGGGTTCGTAGTATTAACTGTCTTAGTGATTTAAGGATGATACAAATACCAAACTAAACTGCATGCTGAAGTAACCAGGATTTTGACATTTAAAGCATGCATTGCACCTTATTAGATACATTTAGAGAGAGGAATTTTGCAAGCAGACAACAGAAATCTCCCAGAATTCCTCAACCTGTTCCATATTTCACTTCCCTAAATCCCACTGCTGTCTTTTGACTCGTCCCCCTGTGTTTTGTTCCGTTTGCCCTAAACCAACATCCCAATCTTCTGTTGTTTTCCCCACTCCGCTCCAGTCTGCTGGGTTCCATGTTCCCCCTACCCCGTATCATCTTTGCCATGGCCCGGGACGGCCTGCTCTTCTCCTTCCTGTCCCACGTCAGTGAGAGGAAATCCCCAATAACAGCCACTGTGACTGCGGGGGTCATGTCTGGTAAGATAAATACAGGAGGGGTTCAGGGAAACGATGAGTGACGAGGAGTAAAAACAAAGTCCAATGTGTCCACTGTAAAGGTTAATATTGGCAAATAAATAATTTTTTTCTGCTTCTCTCCACCGACCCATCCCCCCCACCCTCTCCTCATCTTCTTCTTCTTCCATCTTCTTCTACTACTTGTCCTTTTTCTCCTTCTTGCTATTTTGAGCAATCATGGCCTTCCTGTTTGACCTGAAGGACCTGGTGGACCTGATGTCAATCGGGACGCTGCTGGCCTACACCTTAGTGGCTGCCTGTGTCCTGGTGCTCAGGTGAGTTGGGGGACAAGCTGCTTGAGGACGTGTACAAAAAATCTGCCATTCTCCAGAATCTGCACAGATATATTTATAGTTTAAACATGACGCCCAAAAAGTCCTTTGAGTTCTTGGTATGTAATTGGAACTGCCAACATATAGAAAAAAACCCTTCAATTTCTTTGAAAAGATTCCTTTCACAGAGCTCATGTCTAAACCCAGCTTTAGTGTAATTTGCGTGAAGAATGCTGATAATCAACCATCAGTGGTGGTCACAGCTCCAGGCTGAATTTAACAACTGTGGGAAATGGTTGTTTTCATAGTATCACATTGATGGAATGCTCTCTGTGCATTTAATAATGGCTACCTAAACCAGACAAAAAGTCAATTAAAATGAAAAGAAAAGTTTTATGAATCATTTAAACTGTATGTGGCCCTGCAATGGGCTGGTGTTGTGTCCAGGGTGGACCACACCCTCACCTGTTGACAGAAGTGGCTCTTGCATTAGCAAAATAGGTCAAAGTAAAACCATAAATAATAACCATTAAGAAGATGATGTAGTAAGAGCTAATGCTAAGAAAACATTTGCATGTTTGTAGATTTGAGACCTGGTTTAATTATTAACATCCAATCCATTTGTTCAAGCTGTTCTCTTTTCAACCCAGGTCACTGTTCTAAAAGTTTGTTTGGTTTTTTCAGATACCAGCCGGAGCAGCCCAGTCTGGTGTTTGAGACCCAGGAGGAAGGGGAGATGAGTGATGGTATCAGTGTCCCCAGTATGGGCATCCTCCCTGGTGTGGAGGAACGATTCAGTGTCAAGTCACTGCTAATGCCGTACAGCCCTGAGCCGTCGTTGATGTCAGGGTCCGTGGTAAATGTCTGTACCTCGATCATGGGTAAGTTCTGTGCGCAGGATTAAAGTTTCTGTACAAATGACTTTTGTCGAGCCAAATCAGGAATATTAAAAAAAAAATCTAAACGCTCTACAGGGGTGTTGATCCTGATGTTTAGCGTGCTGGCAGTGCACGGAGGTTTTGCTCTGTGGAACATCCCCACCCTCGGCCTCATCTTCGCCGTCTGCCTCGTCCTTACCTTCATCATCTGGAGGCAACCTGAATGCAAGACAAAGCTTTCTTTTAAGGTTCAGATTCAAGAATTGGAGTTCCTCCATTTTTTATTCAAGTCCCTCTATTTTAACAACCATTTTAAATGTACTTTTCTGAAATCGTACCTTCCAGGTTCCACTGCTGCCCTTCATCCCAGTCTTCAGCATGTTTGTCAATGTCTACCTGATGATGCAGCTCGACAGAGGAACCTGGATGAGGTTTTCAATCTGGATGGCTTTAGGTAGTAATACTGAGTTACTGAGAACTGCACTACATTATCATCAGTACAGGTTTCACTAACATACAGTACATGCTGTACAACCCTGCAGTAAAGGTTGATGATTGTTGGTTTTTCTATTTTTGCATTTATTTGCAGAAACTGTATGAACTTTTTAACCATTTTGTCAAAATTCAAACTTTAAACCCAAAAGAAGTGTTGATCGTTTCAAATACCAATCCTACATCTGACCCAAGAAAAACCTTATTATTGCTGTTACTGTAACCAATCAAAATGATGTAACTATAAATATAGAAAAAATGTCAAGATGACATGTTTTAAATGTGGAAAGCCATAGTTCTGACTGTGACTCAGAGGTGAACAGAAATCTGAACTGGTATTCATCTGAAACAGAGACACATTCTGTATTTACTTTCTAACAGACATAGGTGTCGTTTCTCTCCTGACCTCTGCAGGTTTTGCCATCTACTTTTTCTACGGTATCCATCACAGTGCAGAGGCCTCTACGAGCCACTCATCACCGGAAACAGAGATGACCTACTTCAAACAGGACCACGAGTCTGAGTCTCTGGCACAAGAGAAGGAGGCTTTCCTCCACAACGGCATCACTGCTGAGGAGGAAGATGACGGAGACTTGTAAAGTATAAGAACATTCTGTGGACATTTCACTCTCACTTCCCTGACGCCAGTCTGTCTGTGCAGGAACTTTTCTGAAAGGACAAATACCGGCCCCTTGTTGGCAGTGCACAGTGTTAGAGAGAGTAATATAAATAAATTTGACCTGAGATTCCCAGACCCGCAGTGTTTCTCATCAACAGACAACTGGTGATAAAACCCGTTTAATAACAGACCTTCAGTGTCCATAAATCGTGGGGCAGGAGGGGGGTTTGTAGATACTCGTGCTTCCTGTCACAGATTACACACATCTAGATTAGACTGTGGGCGTTGACGTGGTAGATCTGTTTCTTCTACAAAAGGCTGATGATTTGTGCAATGTTCTTCCACTCCCTTGACTGTCAGCTTCCAGCATCGTGTCATTGGACTTGAGGTCCAGCAGCTGCTCATTGTATCTTGAAATTCTGAAGGAGAAGGATTCAACAGAAACGCGTTTGAGTTTTAAGAGAGCGTCAAGATGTAGAGAAGCTTCGATATTTCTTCAGCCTCACATTAAGTCGGTGACTCTTAAAGCATCGAATGGAGGTGATGTGGCATCGTCTGTCCACTGGACATCACAGCATTGTTCACTAATAGTTTCCTCCTGAAGCTTAGCAGGCTTTTTACAGTATCTCTATATTTTAAAATAAAAATGGATTTGACAAAAAAAAACCACCTCTTAATCTTGATATAACAATTCTGTCAGTATTGACTCCAAAATCCTGCCACTTGTCACAATTGGCCAGACTAGATACATTAGATATATTTTTGTGTAAGTAATTATATATTTGACAAACATGTTTTTAATCTATCTTCAACCAGCGCTCATATATATCCCATGAGAAGAAATTCTGCTTCCCCTTTTCCAAAAAATGAATGACTTCTTTATTTCTGACATTAGATCGTGGCCCCTTCACTGTGGTTTGGGAAGTCTTTTCAGCAGTGTAATGTTGTGTATATACAATGTTGTGTATATTTCTTGTAGTAAATTATTTGTCATTTGGATTGTGGGCTTTTTGTTACTGTGAAAGTCTTATGACTGTGGTGCAGCTTGTTGCATTTGTAGCTCTGTGTCTATATTCCCTTGAAAGCCGTACCTGACCAACGATCAGCCTTCTTACTAACTCTTTTATTTCAAATACAGGAATTAAAAAAAAAAAAAAAACTATTTCATGAATTACTGAAAATATATGTTGTGTACATTTGACTAAGGATTGTTATATTTTATTTCTATTAGGTTTTCAGAAATGGAGGTAAAGTAAGTTTTACAGATGTTTTATGCCTTACTTGTAAGTATATGTAAACACTTTTATGTACATATACATATATTATATGTATACATATATGTACAGTTCATATATGTACATATATTGTATGGATATATGTACTGTATGTTTTTGTTAGTGTGTTTTGACCTTCAGTGTTAACCTAGTCAGGAAGTACAAACCATAATTCCTGTCCAGTATTACTTTTCAATAGGTTGCGTAATTGCCCTTTAGGGCTTCTCGTTTACACACTACACACCATTAGACACAGTCTGAGACACAACATTTACTTTATTTCGTTCTAAAAAATGACCCACAGCTGTAGCTTTGCAGTTCACACTACAGTTCAACTGAAGAGCCCAGAGTAACTCGTACTTCATTGACCTCCTGTAAATTAAGATTTTCTATTTTGTTTTGCTGGTCAGCTGTGCTTTTTGTTGATGTCTGGAAGTTTCAATGCTCAATTCTTGTAAATAAAAAATAACTTGTAAAATTCCACATGTTTGCAGTTTACACAGTGTTTATTGTCACAGCGAGGACCAGGTTTGTGGTAAGAAGAAATGTTTCTTTGCTTACAAAGATGTTTTCTACTCACTCTTTTTTTCTTCTCCAGGTGATGTCATGGATGCTCTGCCCAGCGCTGCTTCAAGATTGCCCTCTGGTCAGTTCTGTCCATTCACAACTTCACAACACTGAGGTCTTTGGTTAAGCCCATGTTCACTGAGATGATTTAAAATAGGTGATTTTTTTTTATAGTTCAAGCAAGTAAATCATTTTATTCAATTGAGTTATTGTTTATAAATTAAAGCTTAGACGTAAACATTACCAATGGGCTCTAAGGGTAGTAGTCAGCACCTGGGTGAATGTTTTCAAAGACGTGAATAACTGATATTACAAATGTTGGTTCAAATCTGACGAGTGATGGTCACGTGATGGTTCGTATGATTGATAATTATGAACATTATGAACATTATGAACCTTGATAATTACGAACATTACACAATTCATTTTCTCCTGTTTCTATTTCTTTCTAAGTGTGACGTTGTGATTCTTTTGAAAGTCTGCTGCAGTGGCTCTGTCTGCACCCAGAAGTTGCGGCCTTCCCTATGACGTAGACTGGCATTAACTCTCATAATCCAGCAGAGGGCGCAAAAGCGTTGGATGTTAGTTGGAAGAGAAAGCAGCTGAGCTTCTGAACATAAGGACGCTCTGCGAGGAGTCGGCTGCAGCATCAGTACCACTCCCCCTCCTACAACTCTCCTCCTGCTGCTGCTGCTGCTGCTCTCCTCTTCCTCCTCCTCCTGTCCGCAGCATCCCTCTGTCTCCTGCAAGAGAGAGAGCGCGAGAGGCGCATGTGTTTTGTTTTGCAACTCCTGCACTGACCGACATTGTTGAGTGAGAGCAACACCACAGGAAGCTGAAGGTAAGACGCACATGGTAGAAACATCCTACTGGTGTTTCTGTTTTAATTCTCCAGCCTTTTCTATATTTGTTTATGTTTAACTTTATATTGAAATATTGATTATTGATGCTGTTGATCCGGCTGTCGTTCGTCAGTCTCAGAGGAACCGGTCCGTGACTGTCTGCAGACGTGTATCACGTCCGTCTGTTTGTGCAGAATGAATTCCTAGTTATGATAATGGGCAACTTGTTCAGAGCGGAGACTGGAGGAGCGGGGAACTGATGTGATGGATGGAGCAGGTCGAGTCTCTGTGGGAGATGTTAGTGATCAGCCACAGATTATGTCGGCTTTAGACCCGAGTTCATGATCTACTCTGCTCTAAGGACACGAGGAACAGTTTCGTAGAAATAATGTGGTTATTTTTTTTTTCCGCCTTTGTTTGGATGTCTGCCGTATTAGATGATCAGCTCAGGGGGGAGTGTGGTTTGTATGGCAACGTGAAAAAATCAGCATGCGTATGTTTTGTTGTGTTGGTATGTTTTAATTTACTCCTGGAATACTATTCTTTTTATTTACAAATATCTTAATATGACTGGTTTGTGAAGCATTTTCAAGTTTAAAGTCAACACATCGTAACCTTTGGCTTTAAGATACTCCATTACACTGGAACTCATCTGCATATTTACCTTGAGGCTACGTTTCAGAGTGAGAGCAGGAGCAGGAGGAGGAGGACCGATCAGAGGACATGTCTTTCACACTCCACCGTCTCCTGCCTTGATTGATCGGTGTCAAATCATCACTTTGTCCTTGAGACCTTGTTTGGCTCAGACTCTCCTGACGTTCTGCCAGCGGCCTTCCATCTTTGTGCTGCTCTCCCACCAATCACATTGTTTGGTTTTGGGCAACACTTTCTAAAATGTGTTTGACTGGAGTCTAGATTGTGATGTGAGATAACATGAGTGGGAAGTCTGCTTTAAGACTCAGCTTTAGTTCTGGTTTTTTTTTTGTTTGTTTGTTTGTTTTTAAATCTTGCCTTGACGTTGGATCAAAGCTGGCCATGCCGATCCTGTGGCCTTGGCTGGTCTGCTGCAGCTGCTGCTCCACATGCTGATGCATGCCTGATTGATTCATTACATCTGACCTTTGCAAAGTCTGAAGTGGGATCAATTCATCAGGTCTTTGCAGTTTGAGGGAGTGTCGTAGAGAAAAGTGTGTGTGTGAGATGGAGAAAGACAGTGTGGGTTTAGAGTTAAGTGTTTGTGTACAGGCACTTCTCTATGTCTGTGTGTGTGTGGGTGTATGATTGTGCAGGTAAAACAGTTTGTCATAAGTGTAGAACACTGGTGAGACCTTCAAGGTCATTTTATAGAACAGAAGAGAAAAAGAAAGGTGGGGGGGAGTGAGTGAGGTGATGGGGAAAAAGTATGTCACTCTGCCTCCCACATATGTTTAATACATTATTGTTTCTTATTTTATGTATTACTCATTACTTTAGTTTGGGTTTTTATTTTAAACATTTATACAAACTTGTTTAAATAAGTCTTAAAAATGGGAATGATGGCTGAAAGACGCTGCAGATTTAGGAACTCCTTGAATAGTGCTAGAATGTTCCCTGGTGAAAATGAGTGGATGATGGGCATTTTAATAAATAAGTGTGGAAAGATTTCACCTGTCTTTGTTTAACATGATGATGATGGTGATTTGCAAACAGAAGCAAGTGTGAATGAAGTGTCAACACAGTCAAATTCAGCTGCCTTTGTCTGGAGGAAGGTGGCAATGAGCAGCTGAAGCTCCGCCCCTGCAGTCAGACAGGACGTCAGAGACACACCTCCTTTTACACACACACAGACAGAGAGACAGACAGACAGACAGACAGTAGTCAGTGTGATTTACTGTGACTCCTAACAGTCTCCTGAGTACTTTATGGTCCTGGTTAGTAGTTTCAGCTCTAGGGTCTTTGTCAATAGCTATTCCTTTTAGAGGAAAATATACAGTGTGGCATGATGGGAGATGGCACGCAAAGATGGAACACAGCAGTCTTCCATTTTGATTGTTCTTTTGTTTTACTCCAAAAAAAATTAGATTGACAAAACAATATCGTCTTCAGACGATTAAGACTGAAAGAGAAGAATGTTTTATTCATGTTAATTGAGAAACAACCTCCATTTTTTTCTTTCAATTAGAACTCAGTTTAACTTTCAATTAGTAGATGTAAGAATTCAGCAGAGAATCTTTCTGAGCTTTCAGTTTTTACAAGCTCTTTCGCCATATTTAGCTTATTTTGTTTGTATTTTTAAATATCGACCAAAACCTCTCCTTCCTATTATCCTATTTTCTTCTTCCTTCTCGTTCTTTCTCCATATTTCTTCTTCCTCTTTCGGCTGCTGCCTCCAGATGTTGCTACAGTGGATCATCTGCCTCCTCTACTTTTCACCAACCATGTCCATGTACTTACCCACAAAACTCCTCTTCTTCTTCTTCCTCTTCTCTTTTTTTTTCCTGGCAGCCGTCTTTCTTTACTGTTATATAATGTTAAAAATCAGAGTTAGGAAGTGTTTTAGGATGGAAACTGCTGCCAAATGTTCATGACTGTGAACTTCGTCACTGCCCTCTGTGTCATCAGAGAAAGTTCAGTGAGACTTCAAAAGTAAGCCATACTGTACATTAATGTTGTCGGGAAACACCATCATGTTCTGTGGGTGAGAAATATATATATATATTTTTTACAATCGTCAGCAATCTACAGACTTTATTAGGCAAATTAGTGCAACATAAACCGTGCATTGTTTTTATGAGGGCCGGCCTGTGAGAGCTGTGCTTAACTTAACCCTAACAGCTCCATGTAATTCACTTTTACGATAGATTACTACATTATAGTCCACTCTTCGTCTGCGGTCTTCCTGCAGTTGGTCCACTCTCCTAAAAATACACTAGAAAAGTCAGCAGTAATGTGTTTGAATCCCATACCTAAGCCACATTCATCTTTGATTTCTCCACGGGCCTCCTCACCCCATCTGCCCCACCTCCCTCACCCACTTCCCTCCATCCAGTGTAAACAATCACCTTTACAGCCCGGCTCATATCGTTAGCTTCTTCGTCACGTCGTCACCACAGTCATCCCAAAACCCTGAGCTCACTGCATGCTGCGTTCACCTCTGCCTGATCCTTTACCAGTGCTCCCTCCCCCACTCCCCCGTGGGTATCACCCCTCACACATCGCACATGCATAAACAGGCTTACACATTACACCGCAAATTACTAATCCTCTACGCCAACAAGACCCTGTCAACACCTCGTCTCCTCAGAGCATCATCTGCTCCTCCTGTGATATTTTCTTAAAATAAACTGAAGTGACTCAGCCGAAGTTGCGCTCAGCATTTCTTTGTCTGGCCAGTCTCACCTTGGCAGCTTCGTGTCTGTAGCTGCGTGGGTCTGTGTGTGGGACTTTCTCTCTAACAGCAGCACAGAGAACGTTTCCACTTCTGCCGTCTTTGTCTGCAGCTTCTCTGGATGTGGATCAGACATCTCTCCCTCTCTTTCTCCCTTCTTACCTCTCTGCCCCCTCCATACACTTTTGCCCACCAGCCATGCAAGAGTTAACATTTTCTCTGCGACAGGAGTGAGGGTAGTGGGCGGAGGGTCTTTGCTAATAACAATGCGGTGCTTCCAGCAACCAGCGTGGACAGAAATCCTTTTTCCTCCTCTCCTCTGTGCCATCACTTATATGTAGCTTTGTGTTTTAGCTGCAGAGCACAATCCAGCCATAAACACACGCCTCACATCTCTGTGCATCCCATTCATCTTTCTCCCAGACTGCAGTGGACAGTTTTATTTCTTTTCATGCTTGTCTGGTGTAATCTCCCTGAGTGGGACGAGGTTTGGTGGAGGTTTTCTCCCTTTCTTGACCATATGTTATAACCTTCCTAACTGCAGAGCATCAACACAGCTTCAACAGCACAGTCAAACCAGACAGTGAAGCCAGAGGCATGTCTGGTCCCTGTATTCAACATATGAACACACAGACTGTTCACAGGTTTAGTGTCATTACATCCATGTCCTCTATAAGTCACATTCCTCTGCTGCTCTGTCTTTGTGTGCGACACCTGCAGTGTGTGTACGTATGTGTGTAAGTAGTCAACAAAGCAGCTCTACGTGCACGTGTTATAGCTCTGTTTTTCCCCCCCTGCACTGACTCTAAGGATGCTGGTGGATGGAGGGAGTTTTATTATTCCTCATTTTGTCCTCTTAAATCCACTTACTGAAATATCGCCTTTGACTGACACTCATCGCAGCACCACACTCTGTCTGTCTGTCTGCAATCAGGAAATAAAGCTGCCTTTATTGCAGATGATCTGATTTTCTCAGTCTCCCTTTTCTGTGTGTGCTGTGACCACCCACGCTGACCCAGGATCCCATAGAAATCCTGTTAAAGTCCCCGCTGACATAGAGTAATTCCCCATGGAGTATAAAAGCAACTGCCACAGCAGGTGGGGAGTGCAGTGGTGGATACAGGCAGAGGGGATGGATGAATAAGTGATTATTTGGGTGATGTATTCGACTGCTGTTTCATATATAAGGGTGAAAATGGCATTGATCACCTCACCCTGTCCTGACCAACTGTGTGTAATCGATGGGATTGGAGAGCGTGAGGTGGTGGGAGGAGGGGGTGAAGGGAACCTGAAGACACAGACTTAAAAAAAAAATCCTATTAATTTGTAGTGAAACTGAACAGTAGCTTAATACTTGTATAAAAACAGATCAATTGTCAACAGCACAAGGATTTTACTTTCTTTCTCTTTTTTCCTTTTTTTCCCGAGCTGACACCACCTAGGTGTGCATGTGATTATTTCTTGACGCTCTGATATAAAATCTGAGGCAGAGTTTAGTGGATCATTACTCGTGTAATTTCCTCCACAGGATACTTTTATGTATTTTGCAAAAAAAACCAAACACATTTTATCTTACTCCTTTGCTATTTCTGTCTGTGTATACTATAACTGAGCAGGGAGAAGAAAGAATGGGGGATAAAAGAGTCCCTTCCAGAGACTCCCTCCAGGGTTTATTCTGCTGGATCATTGTATGCAAATGGAGAGATTTTTTTTTTCTTTTTTTAAGGCAATAGGAAAATTGTGTTTTTGTTTTGTTTTTTTTATGCTCATTTCGCACCCATAAATGTGTAATGTATTCATGCAAAACATGTTCACAAGTTCACACTGCAACAGTTGCAGCGCTATCATACATACAAACACACACACACACACACACACACATTACCACCACAAAGCAGCCGGAGGTGAGAGAACAAGGACGGGCTAGAAAGTTGTCATAAGAGATTAATTACAGGCAAAGACAGCGCCTGTACACCACGGTGTTAGCATGGATTTCCATCTTTAAGTGTAACTGCTCCACTTAATTTTAATGTACATCCTTGCACCAAATGTGATTATGTTATATAGGCAACACTCAGGAATCATAAATTCTGATTACACTTATCGCCGCGGCGTCCATTTACATCCCCTCCATCCCATATAGCTCCAGCACCAGTGTGTGGGAATGTACGAGCGTGCACATGTATGTGTGTATGGATGAAAGAGAGGAACCTGTGCATGTGTGTGTGTCGTTGGGCTTCCCCTGGGACCATACAGCTATAAAACCTGTCTGCTCTCCAGTGGGGGAGGAGAGGAGAAAAGCCCCAAGTGCCAAAGACAAATGTCGTCTGTAATAGTCACATGTGCTGCTGGTTGGACAACAAAGACCCGGTGGGGAGGTGTGTGTGTGTCTGTGTCCCTTTTGGTGTTGACGTGCTGGTGCATGTTTTTAAAAATCTGAAAAGCTTAAAAAATATGTATGTATATAATTATATATCATACATCTATGTGTATATTGTATATGTATATAAATCTGTACATATATACACAAATATATACATATATGTATGTTTTTGTGTATATGTATATACAGTATGTGTGTGCATATACTGTATATGCATATGTATATACGTGTGTGTGTATATATACTGCATGTATATATAAACTGCAACTACCATACTGCTTATACATTTGTGTACTATTTTACTTCAATCATCGAACGTCACTGCTTTTCTAACACAGACTCCTTCAATCCAGTATATACTGAGTATTCATAGGTTTCTCATTAGGAGTAATTAAGAACTCGTCAGTGTTGTGTGTCAGTCAAGGATTTGCAGTAAGTATAGACGTGCATTCTTCCCTTTAAGGTTTTTCTCACTCACCCACTGAAGGATTTTCCTGTGCCTTGTCTTGTGGAGGTTCAGATGTTGTTTACTCTTCCATCAACATAGATTATATCTCTTGCCATCTGCAAGTGTCTTTTCTTCCCACCTCATGTCTCGCCCACACAAGTGCTTGCTTGCTTTTCATATTCATAGAAAGGGAATACATTTTAATTTTTCAGAGAGAACATTAGTCTGGATAAAGAAGAGACAGCGTTGATGGAAAGGAATAAAAAAAACATCTGTGGAAATATGGGAAGCCTTGGAGAAACACCTGCAGTTTTTAAATGAAAATTCTGTTTCTATGCCAATCTGTAGAAAACTTAGCTTTCAGCTTTTTATTTGATGTCATTTTTAATAGAAAATAAAGACACTTTAGAAATCATGATGCTTTTTGAAGGAAACATAATGATATAGCATAACTTAATTTTTTTTTCCTTTTTATTCCTCCTATTAACTTAAGAGTGTTGACATGGCTACAAAATTGACTCATGTTCTACTTGAGAAGGACTAAAGCAATTACCAAAGAAAAATATATAATAATGTTAACAATGGTTTGTGAAGTAATCTATTTTTTAAGCACTTTATCAAACATTTACTATGGTAACTACGATTAAGCGTGGTTAATGGTTCCTAACAACTAATTGGTAACTATCCCACTGAAAATCACTATTGAAAGTCCATGACTGAATCTGATCCCAACTCTGCTGTCGTCTCCTGCTCCATGCTCTTGTCATTCCAGTGATGGATCCATCTACCTGCAGAGACGTGACGGCTCCTGTGAGCAGCGACTGCTTTCATTTAATCTATTTTTAGGTCGTGAGTTCACATGGGAAAATGATGCAGGGCAGAATTAATGCATGAGCTGTGACTTTAAAAGCATAAACTGACCTTCAGGGCCAGCGCTGCCAACGCTACCCTTCTTACCGTGACCTTTTTCCCGCTGATGGAGGATAGAGGAGTCGGGATGGGCTGTCTAGTTTCCATTTTCTTTGGATATGGCATCGCCATGACAACAGTAACAGAAATGTTTGTTTTTTTTCCTCAGGTACTGTTTTTCTCCCCAGAGGACTGAGAACTGAGTAGTTACTGTACTTGTCAACTTGTGCCTCCTAGAAACAAAGCCAACCTTATTAGATATTCCAGCCCAGTCGTCCTGTTTGGCACAGTTTATATTCAAATACAGCTTAAGGTTTTAGAGTCAATATAGAAGTTACTGTGTAATTATCTGGTAAATGTATCCTATTGATACAAACTGATTGTCATAGAGAGGTGATGAAGACTAAAGTGTAATTTTGGCATACATTATTATTAAAAATAATTCAGCTGAATCATTCTTAAATGAATGAGAAAATAAATTAATTATTTCAATAGAAGATCGGGTGTGTATATGTGTGGGGGGGGGTCAATTTGCCAAGTTCAGCTTTATATAATACATTTTTTCACAGTATACCTTTCTTTTTTACTCTGACAATGTGATGATAGAAAATTGCTTCTAGATATAAACTGAAGGCACAAACTAAGCTGAGAGGAAACCTTAAGACAAAAACCTAAAATTTCCTAAAACTAAAAATGTTCCCACTCTTCGCTGCCCCAGAAAACAGGGCTGTGTTTTTCTGTTGACTGCTGATATTCAAATGAGCTGAAAACCACTCCAGGTCATAATGTAGTGTATGAATGTTTGAAAGTTTCATAGTGTGTTGAGGCAGTTTTTATTTTTTATTTGTAACGAATATTCTCGCCTCCTTTCATGTGTTTGCAGGCCTCGCTCTAACGGTATTTGTCAGCTGTACTGTGAGCTGATGTTCTGCTTATTGTGGTTCAGCTTCTGTGACCGAGCTCAGCCTCAGCAGTGCTGCCATCAGCATAAGCTGCGGTGCTTCATCAGTGCCATCATCGATCCACCACCAGGTCCTTCCTGAGCATTCTCTCACCCTCTAATATTCACTGGGTGTCACCCTCTCTCCTACCCTGCCATCCGTCTCCTTCACCATCTCTTTGAGCCATTTTTAATTGGTTTAGTGCTTGATAGTGTGCATTAGCTGCAGGGTAGAAACGCCAAGGCACAAAAAGAGAAATGTGTATCAATTTCTTTATTTCTTAACAGTGAAAAGATTTTACGAGGATGATTCATTTAACAAATTCTTTTTTTCATATTTGTAATGTAGTTTTAGGTTTGAAATACCAGATTGTTGAGGAATTTGTGGGAGTATTTTTAGGATGACCTTGAGGATTGTTTACTCTCAGAGTCAGGTGGCAGCGGAGCGGCATCAGATCCAGGAGCCACAGGCAGTGGAAGCTTAGTCTCTGAATTCTCTGATAGCACTGCCAGAGGACACATGGAGCAAACACCTGCTAATGAGAACACACTCCCCCTGCTGCACATGTAATTAGAAGGTGGGAGTTTCATTGGAAGTGTTAGTGGAATATTCACTGTGAGGATCTGAAGACACATACATATGTGAGGAATATACATGATTAGCATTTCTGGCTAAATGGACCGGTTTATCTGCCCACATACTGTAGATGGTATACAGCTGAATATCAGGATGAAAAAGCAGCAGCGTTGCCTTCTTTGGTTCAAATACTCGTTAGAATCAGAAAAAAAAACCGTCATTAACTCTAAATTAGTAAATTTAACTAAACCTCTGATATCAGCGAGGAGCGCTCCAGGGCAATTACATGAATATTTGGTGCCACTCTGATTAAAGCGACTGCAACCAGACCCTCGCTGACAAGTTGTGGTGAAAACTCCCAGATATTCCCCTCCCATCTGTTCTTCTCTGGCACATATTTGTTTGAGCTCACCTACAACTCCTGCAAATTATTTTTATTCTAATTTGGAGGGGTTTCATCCCGTGAACATTTGGAATGTATTTTTACTGCAGATGTTTTTATCTCACCCTCTTCCTGTTTTCCATCGGCTCTGCCTCCTGAGAGAAAGAAAAGCTCATTACCAATCACTTTGCACCCTTTCCCTCTCCTCTTCTTGTCTTCCTCATCAGCCATTCCCTTGGTGATTCTGACACTATTTTTTTTCTTCTAACAGCCTGCACTCAGAGCGATGCTAACTTCTCTCATCAGTTACCTCGTTTCTTCTTATCCTACTTGCAAACTCTCATCTCCGCTTCACAGTAGGAATATTCTTTTCAAATGTAACCCTGCTCTGCAGTACAGTCAGGTTTCCTCTGGAATACACCCAGTATTTTACTGCTTATTATATTCACTGCAGTACCTGTTTCCTGTGATTGTGAGATGTCTCACTCACTGTTTCCTTTTGTGTTTTTTATTTCAGATTGAACAGACGTTTCCCCGAAGAGCTAAACAGACAGTTTACTTACTTATGGCAACAGCAATAACAGCAGTAAACTAAACTGTATCAACACCAACATTTTATCGCTAAAATGCTCAACTAACAGTTTGCCGACTCCAAAGAGAAGAGACACGAGCAAAGTTATATTTGTCACTCCATAGATGGCTTCTGCACCCAAGTGTCTTTAAGTGATTCAGTCCAAACTCTCTGTCCAGCATGAGCATCCCGTCGAGATTCCAGGGAATGAGGGTGAGCGTTGACAGAGGAGATAGGTTTGTAAATAAGCTATCATCTGGAGACGATAACGCCAATCAGTTTACGTCTCTCAGTGAAGAAGAGGACAGACGGATGACAGGAGACACTGGATACAGTACATGTCCCGTTCCTCCTTTGGTGTCTCAGAGGGACTCCCCTGACAAGTTAGTGTTCTGGGGCTCTGAGCACAGGGAGTTTGAGATCTTGGAGCATCAGGGGATTCGTACCTTCTCAGAAAACCAAGATCAGGAAGAGGATAATGAGGACCCGGACGATGAAGGGAGTTTCAGAGATGGAAGAGATGACGGACCCATGTCCATATCTTCCAGTTCCACTGCCAGCTCTGCTTCTATTGGCCACAGGAGAAATGACAATGACAGCAACAAAGTGGAACGCAGAAAACAAAAGTATGAAGATGTGCCAAAAAGGATCGCTTGTCACAGCACTGAAGAGTTAGACACGTGTGTGTCAGGCTCAGCAGAAGTCAACGTCACCCGATCAGGCAGCGAGAGGCACAGGAGAGGTCTGAAGGAGTCCAAGTCAGAGACAAACGTCTATGTGTCCAGTTTGTCCGCCGCTGTCCTCAGTGGGAGTCTGTCCAGTGCACTGGATGGTAGTGGAGAAACACCGTCTCCCGCCTCTCTGTCCAGCAAGATCCACCCTTATCCAAATGCCAACAACTCTACCTCAGCTCAGACCAGGAGAAGGGCAGTCCCTGTGAATACAAACCAGGTTTCGCCATCACCACATCCTCAGGAGAAACAAGACTCTCTTCAGTTCTGCAGCCGGGATCAGATACAGCAGGAGGGAAACCCGCAGAGGAGTGGCACATCCTCTGACCTGGGGCTGGGCCAAAGGAGAAGAGCTGGGTTTGATGAGAGGGTTCTGCCACCAAGACGCCAACAGCTGGTCCGACCTCTCTGTCAGACCGAGGTGGAGAGAACCAGGAACTCATCAGAGTTCAATTCTAATCAAGACGAGACAGATCAGACTGACAGCCCCAAACAGACTCTAGATTCGTACAGCAATGGTTCGAGCAGAAAGTTAACAAGATCATCGTTACGTGAACCCTTAGATATCTCTCACCTGTACAACACGTCTGCAGTTTCTCAGCCCAGACAACAGAGCCAGACAGTCAGGAGAGAGGTTTCACCTGCATTAAAACAGCCAGCCTCAACACAAGGTCAGAGTTCAACTTCCCCTAACCCCTTCACCTTAGAAAGGCGACCTCAGACTCAGTTCACCTACAGGAGAAACTGTTCCAGTCCCAACAGGACTGGAGTTGAATCCAGGTCATCGACTCCTCCTTCTCCTCAGTCTCCTCTTATGACACCGCAGGGCTCACCACGGAGACAACCTTCCATGTTTATTCTTTCGAAGAATGTCTCTGGAGTGGTGAGACACGTTCCTTCAGGATGCAGCCCTGCTGTGAATACACCAGCTCAGGGCCATGGCAACAGTTGCTTGAGAGCACCAGTCAAAACTAGCATAAGCACAAGCGGAATCCCCAAAGCGCCTCTTAACAACCAGCAGGGCTCCACTTATTCTCCCCATAACCCCAACCCCAAGGACAGCTCTCCGTCTCCAAAACTGAAGCCCAAAGGAGTTCGCCCTAAAATCATCACTTATGTCAGAAAAAATCCTCAATTCAAGCCTCAAGCGGCAGACGGTCATTATCAGGTGTCCTCTCTGCCGTCCCGGCTTTCAGCGTACGCACAAGGACAAACTCCAAATTCAATCAAAGGCAGCTCTAAAGAACCCTCCAAGCCTGAGGCCGCCCCAGTCCTCAGTGCCTCCAATCTGCACTTCGAGAAGTGCCGTCAAGACATGCAGTCAAACGTCTTCCCGTCAGGAGTGATGAGCAGGAGCATCAGGCCGCCGGGACACGCCAACACAGTTCCTGCCACTCACTTGCATGTCATGCCACATGCACACAGCCATACAGCTCCTCCAAACCTGGGCAGCAAAGCAGACAACTTTTATGGGGCGCAGTCCGAGGTGAGTACCACGTACCATTCTTTTTTTTAACTATTAGATTTCTTTGCATTTGGCACAGTATTTTTTTCTGTAAAACTGTAAAATCGTGTTCTGGAAAATTTAGGACTGGTTAAAAAATTGATTCGAGCCATCACAACTTTTTACGCACAGAAAGGTTCAAAAATTGTACATTGTTTCTGAATTTGGGCCAAAATTAATTAAAGTTTTCCATGGATGTCAAATACACATTCATGGGTACTGTTTAAAACTGAGGTATGTCTAATGAATTAATGCTGCACACTTGGAAGGTTCCTCAGAGTTCAGAAGCTGATTTTCCATATACTCCCACTCTGCACACATGCAGTATTTTTGTCTTTACTCTGCACATCACCGTCCCCAGCTGTATTCATATCTCCTATACTACTGCAAATTACACGTAATTGATATTACATGTTTAGCGCTGCAACTAAAGCGGCTTTACGAGCATTTTTTTATTAATTCAGATTAAATGCTTTTACGGAGCATTCATATTCATAATCCCCTGAGCAGCAGTAGCGTGGTGGAAAGAAAAACATTGAATGTATGCTAGAGCATGGAAGCCAACAACTCAAAGGGCTTCCCTTTGACAATGTGTGTACAGTAGGACTGACACCTTTACTCTGCAGCTGCACCGGTGATGTTAAACTGTTTATCACTGACACATTTGTTTTATTCATGAGCCTCGATCTGTGAAAAATATTATACTATTGCAGCCAAACATTTGGATATTTTTGATGTTAAATGCCAGTTACATTACACTTCTAGTTTCCTTCATGTCTTTGTGGAATTTATGGGTTTTTTTAGATAATTTTGAAAAAAAAAAAAACAGAAATCTGAATGTCAGAGTAAAATCATATCACAATTGTGGTGGAGCAGAAGGCATTTCACAATTCAAATAGAAAACATAATTTCATCACACACTGAGCAAACAATGATTTTTATTTCCAGGTAGGAAGATCTGCCAGTTTTAAAGGTTCCTCTGCGGAGGAAGTTCCTCAAGCGGTTGTTCCTGCCGGAGGGACCGGCAGCCTGCTGCGGTCCGGCAGAGGTCTGCGTCTGGGCCTCGGAGCTGTTAACCGGACGGCTGCGGCCACAGCCAAAGGCAAAGGACCTGGTCCAGATCAGAGGTCAGCTCCAGTCTACAACCAGCCAGTCCAACCTGTCAGCCCGGCAACCAGCCTGAAACCCCAGGGAAACACAGGTAAATGACCTGTTTTCTTGCCTCAGGTTCTGGGAGGATTTGTTTTCTGGCCTGCGATAAGGTTTGCTTATCAAAATTCATCCTGATGTGATTGGTACTCTCTATAAAACTGAGTACATAAATACATTAAATGTGGCTCACACTTTCCTGTCACCATCACTGAACACTGCCTTATTCAGAGGTTGCACACAAACACGTCTCACGCACACACTCACACCTGAGGTGAGATGTGGGACATAGAAAGACTGTCATTAAAATGATGAAGTAGGAAATTTACTCATCATCTTTGCACTCTGCTGGAAAGCCGTGGCGTTAATCATCACACATGCATATTTGATCCGTTCGGTCCCTGCCAGTGATAAACCTTCATGTGTAAATGTAGGAGCAGCCACAGAGTCACAGAACCTAAAGCTGTGCACACAGAAGTGATCAGCTCTGTGTTATGATGTGGCAGGCATCCTCATCAGAATCCCAATTAATACATACGTGTAGCGTCAGAGTGCCCCTCGGCCCTCTGGGAAGTTGGGGGGCTTTGAAGTGCAAAGCAATTAATCGTTGAGTAACGTCAGTGTGGTTCTGCTTGAATCAACTCCGCTGTACGTTACTCACTCTGCAACAGTGACACCTCATTTAAATACACTGTGTAGATATGTTTCTTTTAATATATACACAATCATACATCTATATCTATCTATCTGTATATATACGTACATGCCTATATACATACAAAATATGTATATATTTTATATATATACATTGTCATATATAGATACATAAATACACACATATATTAATGTATATTATATATATATATATATATATATACATACATACACTGTTTAATACTGTAGCCACAATGATGAATTTTAATTCCAGCCAATTAACCACATTTATTTTTGTCCTGTTAATGACTTTTTCTTTCTTCTAAAAGCCAAACGTATTCACTTTGGCTTCATACTGTGCATGTGACTAATTTCGCCATGTGACTATTAAATTGCTGTCAAATTACTGAAATCTCTCTTGTAATTATGGCGCGGGTTCTTTCTCCCTCTGTGCGCTGCTATGATGATGTGAATGGTAGAACAGGACTTTATTGTTCAGTCTGCCTCTGCAGGTTGAGGCTTTTATTTTGCCTTTGTACGGCGCTGAAGCCCCTGTGCTTTGCTCCAGCAGAGCTGCAGAGATTGCAGTGCACTCAAGTATCACATTTAATAACATGCAATTTAACGGCTGGTGGAGAGAATCTGTGAAGCTTTCCACATCTCACCTGGGGTTGTGACGTCTGTCTGTGCCCCCGCTCCGGTCTGCTGTTTAATCTTTTTGGGTTTTTACAGTCGTCAGCATCTGTGATGTTTTCTTGCTGCATCCTTTAGATTTAGCATCTGCATTATGACATGTCAGCTGTAGAGGTTGTTGAGAAGCTGAGGTGTTTTATGTCTGAGGACAATGAAAGTGTTTCAAATGTAGACCTCTGTTGTTCAATTACAGATATTTTTTTCGGCCAAAACAAGAACAGCAGTGGTATTGCTCTGTGAGGAAAACAATTTAAAATCGCAGACGCCCCGTTCTGTTATCATAAGTTATATAAAAAAAAATGGGAGGAGCAGGAAATAGAAGAGTAGAAATAAACGCTTGGAAAATATGGATGCAAACACAAATCAGAGGTATGCATTTCAGCAATCATGGAAGTAATTTGCAAATATGGAAGTAACTAGAAAAAGGGACACAAGAAGCACAAGAGGAACCAGAAGTGACGAAAGAAAAGGAAAAAAAGAAACAAAGAGAGGGTGAAATGAAGGGAGAAACAAAGGGAAGCAGAAGTTTTTGCTGTTACTGTTGAGGTTGTGTTAAATAATGCAGATTTCCATGAAGTCGTGGTTTTGACTCATGGTATGTAATCCTACAGAGGGTATTTGTCAGCCGCTCTTATCTCCCTGGTCTCTGAGTGGACCAGTGGAGTGGGGCAGGTGAGTGAAGAGAGGCAGAGGCATTTATCTTTAATGATCCTGACCTTCTCGTCGGAGAGGGATAACCTATTTTGTCTCTCTCCACCAACTGTTTCTCCTTCACTGATGTGCTGGTTTCCTACAGCAGGCAGGAGACGAGGACTGCCCACCTTATCTCTGCAGCCAGCCGGGGGGGGGGGATAATGGTCTTCTGCCAAACCTAGACCCTTTAATGCAAGCACGGGGATGCCAAAATGGGGTTTTACCCTGTGGGTTTCAGTGTGTGTGTCTGTGTGTGTGTGTTCATGCCTGCACTCTTCATTTGTTTTGCTGCTGGAATTCATTTCCGAAAAAGCAGTAATTCTCTGCATCGCTCACTAACAGAAGCTGCCATGATGGAGGGATGATTGCTTTTTCATCCCCCTCGTTTCTCCACTCGCTTCCCTGTCTGTTCCGCCTGGTCGTCTGTAAAGACGTTCATTTCCTTCACTTTTTCAGTCCGACTCTCCTTTCACCCTCTTTTTTAATGTAGTATCCAAAAAAACGGTATCTAGGTCAGAGCTTTAAAAGATTCAGACTGAGTCGGTTTAATGCAAAACTTCATTCACAGAAAAGTTTATGTGCAGAAAACTCTAAAAGCTGACATCTAAGCCTTTGTTTTCATGAAGAGGTGAAGTTCTATTGGTCAAATAAACAATAATACAGAAAAGCCCAGAATGGTTGAACTCCCTCTTTGTATTAGATACACCAGTGGTGCTGAGGATACGCAGAATACATAACACATTTACATGATGTTAACATTTTTACCTTATGATTACATTTTAGCTCTATTTTCTTGCTGTGTTTTATGTGTTAGGCTTGTGTTAAAATGTAAGCCTAATTTTGACATTTTCCCTAAATGTTTTCATTTTTCTCATTGTCATATATTTTCACTTTATTATTACGCATTTGCTTAGTGATTTCTTTACATTTCAATCTCAGTGTTTACAATTTTTTATATTGGTTAATATATCTTGTGACTTATATCTTGTGACTTTGACATTTTCCCTCACTGCTCTGCTGTGGGCCCGTTCATCAATTCATGCAAAAAACAAAAACGTGCTGAACCTCGGAGATGGCAAATAAAGTCAATCTATTTTATTCTACTCTATTCTAGACTGCAGGCAGGTCAGATTAAGATCACAGATTAAACTTTAATTTTTTGGTTCATACCACCAAAGGTAACGTATTAATAATATTTAGAGCATGTTTGTAAAGAACGACATCATTATTTCTGAATATATTCAGGAAGTTTCGCAGTTGTTTTCCATAATATAGTTGCTGTATGAAATGACAGACCAGTGTTGACTGTGTGTCGCTGGACCACGGCCCAGTCTGTTAGCGGTGCCAGATCTAAAAGCAGCAGCAGCAGAGTGCTATATTATGATTAATGTCTCTGTTGTTGTGCGAGTGGACCGGTGCCTGCTGAGAGTGTGGTCAATACAGAACCACGAGTGATTCATGGGGGGGAATAAAAGCATCACGCCGTCTGCATTTATTTTTTTTGCCTGTTAGCATGTGCTAATGAGTTTAGAGCTGTCACTCAAATGTGTGTGTAAAGTCTTGTAAATCCTATAATTACGTGTTTATCTCACATGTGCTGCAGGTCACACAAAAGGGTTAATGTCAGGATGAAAATCCAGGAGATGGATTTAGTCTCTATAGAAACATTAAATTCATTAAGACAGCAGCTGCATTTTCAGTAAACAAGAGAATTATTGATTTTTTTTTTAGATGGTCAGCTTTTCAACCAACACGCTGCGGCCGCACCACCAGTTTCAGCTCAGCCCCAGGCCATGGCTCCAGCCTCCAGGTCTCTGTTGCCCAAAGCCAGTCAGTCGGGTCTGCGCCCCCCGGGTTTTAGCACCAGTCGCCTCCCTGCAGGTCGTCTGGCAGCCTTTGGGTTCATCAGGACGTCCAGCGTGTCATCTGTCTCCTCTGCACAGTCTGTTGACAGTGCACAGAGCGACACCTGCAGGACAACTCAACGTAAGTCCAGTCTTTATGAGTCTTCTTCTGTGGTTCCTTTAGAATTTCTTTTTTGACGTGTCCTCATTTGGCAGCTTTCAATGTTTTGTTGGAAACATACTTCGGCCATGTCTGAGATCAGAGTGGATCAATGATGGAACGTTTTGAAGTAAAACCTATTGATATTCTTCTTAGCTTCTTAGCTAAGCTATTTTAGCTAAACATGTGGCTAACATTTATTATTTCATAGCTTTTTCATATGCTTTTCTTTCACCCTTTCCTCAAGCTAATTTTGACTGAGGCTAAGTCTGAGCTATTTACTGCATGTACTTCATACTTCAGGCTTGTCTTGGGTATTTGACTCATTTCCTCATTCTGAGAACGCCACTGTTACCACACCAGCGTGTTTTATTACCCAGTGTCCTTGGACTTTTCTCATAAATACCATTTACATAAACATCTTCCTCCCACGCTCATTATGCTGTCGTCAGCTCCTCCCCGCTAATGAATGTCTTTTCCAATTTCCATGTAATTATAAAGAGTAGAGCTACAGATTTCTATTAATGTTTTCTTTGTATGGGAGATACCATATAGTATTTGGGACTTTCTTTTTTTTGTTAGGTCACAATCAGATGTGGAGATGTTTTTCAAACAAAATGTGGACATAATCAACAGATACTTTACAGTGAGAGGAGTTTGTGTTTGATCAATATTTTTCAGTGATCATGAAAATATCTCATTTATTATGGAGACGGTGATGAAGGAAACTGCTCCAGAATTAAAGATGAGGTGTCAAAACAAAAAGAAAAAAATACAAAAAGTGTGATATTTGGATAATAGAAAAATTGACATTTCAAGTGATGATGATGTGGTTTCATTTAAATGCACTCTTAAAAATTTCAGACTGAGTCATGACGTGTCCTCATTTGGCAGCTTACACGTTTATAGGTATAAAAAGTAGCAGAGCCAATGCCTGTCACTCCCCGGGCTCATCACTAATTCAACAGTCTCTTAACTGGGTCTGCATCACTGATCCACTCAGCAGCAGCAGAAATAAGAGTTTTTAGACTCAACTGTCAGGATAAGTTTTATTATTTCTCTCCTGTTGGGAGTTCGACGTGAACTCGCAGGTGGGATTTTCACGCTGCTTCTCAGCCGGGCTGGTTAATTGGCTGAATTTGTGGTGTAACGCCGTGTGTTTGAACGTGACCTAGTTAGAGAACGCCGACTCTTCCTCTCCCAGTTACAGATGACGTACAACATCTGCACTCTCACGCACGTCAAGCCCCCTCTGTTATGTCATCCTCACTTTTCCTCTTTTCCCCTCCTTTTCCCAACTCTTTTATCTCAGTTTTCTCTCACCCATTGGTTGGAAATGAGTGCAAACTGCAGCAGTGTGGGGGCGGCAACCTTCTGGTTACTGAGGCAGGGAAAAAAAATAAGACGTCCCTCAGGTGTCCACAGAAGAATCTGGTTATTTTGGAAAGCAGAAAAATTGTACATTCTGGAAAAGTTTGTCATTTTGGTTTTAACAGTGAGTGAAAATAATAAATTATGAGATTGAGATGAAAAAAATATTAAAATTATTAGAATCGGTAAGGTGAATCTTTTTATATTCTATGATTCAGGTGAACACATTGATTTAATCTGCAACAATTTTTCCAAAAATGTTCTCGCATGTATATTTTACACATGAAGATTTAACTACTGCATTTAACCGAACCATTAGTATGGACTCTATGCAATAAAGTTTTATTTAAAACAACAACATGCATGTTAAGCTCTAGTGGGCCACATAAAATGACATGGCGGGCCATATTTGGCCCACGAGCCATGAGTTTGACACATGCAGCTTAGGAGAACAAAAGCCCTTGAAAAAGCTGCTGAATCTGTGATGTGACATCACTCCATGGAAGTGGCTTGTAGTGAGAATTTCCTTGAAAGCAACCCAAATTCAAATACAGTTTACAGTTTTCAAAACCCCTGAATACTGTGGTTCAAAACAAGCATTGACTTCTTTGTGATATTCTAATTTGCATATAAAAAAACAGTGTAAAGGATAAAGAGATTTTTATTCTTTGTTTTCCAGACTTGAGCTAGGTGCCGTTGTTGTTGATTTTCAGGTCATTGCAAATTAACAAAAACCATTAATTTTCACAAAAATTCACAAAAACATTTTTCTCACCCTTAAGCCAAACTGACGTGATTCTGGTTTCCAGGTTTGTCAATAAAATCTTTCTTCTTCAGTCAGTTTATCTCCTTGTTGACACGTCGTCTGTGTAAAGACCTGCGTCAGAGTAGAATCCTGAAGATTTGTGCCTGTTATCTGTCACATGTTCTTTGAATTCTTTGAAACCCAAAACGATAAATAAATAAAGCAATAAATATCACACCTGTGGCACATGCACACACACACACACACACACACACACGCGCAGGAAAACAGTAGAGGAACACCTGCCTGCAGAACATGAAAGACAGGCGGATCTGAAAGGTGCTGCCTGCAGCTGACTGTTCCTGCTCTTCCCGCTGCTGTTCACAGCAAAGTGGGACCAAAATGGAATCAGGGAAATCGAAACGACAGGGAAAAGATTAAGGGCTTTTGATGTTCGTTTCTCTGCGAGCAGCTTTTCTTACGGGTGACACAGTGAGGGAGTGCAGATGGGAGCGTTTACCTCCACTTTTGACTCAGTTTGACGTCTGTGACCTTTAGCTGTGAAACATCTGAACCGCACTCAAACATCACCGCTGACACTTAACCTAAAGTTTGTTTGTTTGCTTTGGTGAAACTTCCCATGACATTCCCATGGGTTTCATTTTGTGAAAGAAGTGGTTAGAAAATTTGCCTTACATTTGATATTTTGCCAATGTAGTGGTTCGATCCCAAGGCTTTCTGAATGGGAATTTTATCTTTGGTTTTTTACTCACACAGTAAAACTGCCATTAAGGTTATTTTGACCATGTTTGAATGGTTGCTGGTCTCCATATGTGGACTCCTGTGATGGTCTCATTAGATGACCATAAGGGAAGGGGGGTGGCAGGGTTCCAACCCCTCCTCATCCACCGCAACCCTTAAACAGATTTTTGATTTGGAATTTTCCTTGGCACCCCAGGCATGAATGAGTATGAGATAATGGGGAATAATTTGAATTTTAACAAGAAGTATATACATTAAATATATTCTTCATTATGTCTAACTTTAAAGTTTCAATATTCTAAATGTAGAGATTCGCTGACTCGTACCTGATGCTAAGAGCCGTGTTTACTCACAAACTTCCACTGAAGACAGTGAGAGAAAGAACCTTCTTCAGTAAGAAATGTCAGTTGCTCAGTTACTTCTCTCACAGTTTGATTAGTGGGTATAACAAACATTGTACTGGATGATACTGAGTGTGGAAATCAATAAGGAATCGGGAGGGGACGAGGGGGAGGATTGCAGAGTTCTTGTAAAGTGGGTTAGACACTGATCCCAGGGGTTTAAATCCCTCCACTGCTGTAGCTCTATAACTCCCCCTCTGATCAATGACTGAATATGCAAATGAGACAACGGCTCTGGTAGAAACTCGGTGATAGTTGATGATTTCTGAATATATTTAAACATGATGAATATTGTTAGTCATCTATTGTTAGTCATGTAAAATGGCCGCTTCCAAGGCAACCGTGTTTCTTTATAGTGCATTACCTGATTCTAGTATTGCACTTAAACACTTTTACAACAAGAAGCTGAAGGTGACGCCAAACTCACCTGTTTATACTCATGGAGTCGCAGTGTGTGTGTGTGTGTGTGTGTGTGTGTGTTTGACAGCTATTTGTGAGCCTGCGGTCTCGTTGATTAGCCATTAACTCAATTCTCCCTTCAGTCTTTGACGTCTCTGATGTGTGTGTGTGTGTTTATGTCTTTCTGAGCATATACACATAGGAGGCGCCCTTCTAATTCTACTGTGTCTGACAGACTGTATTACAGTGCTGAAAGGTGGACGCAACAATAGGAGGCTGATGAAGGCTGTGCCTTTGAGCCGTGTTGGAAACTGGAGGGCCTTTAACAAACCCACCGTTATCACCTCCATCCATCTTTCCCTTTGGAAAATAATGAAATAACGGTGAAAATTAAATGACAGGGTGGAGTGAGGCAGAGAGGGAGAGCTGAAGGCAGATGCAGTGATAAAAGTAAATCCAATGAGCCAAAATGAGAGGAGGGAGGAGGGAGGGGTGAGATAGAGAATGCAGAAGGAGAAACGTGGAGATGTGGGTGAGTGGAGCAGGGCGGGTGCCGTATTCCAGAGGAAGTGGTGCAGATCTGGTCTGGTAGTGGTGCCGGCTCCATGTGAACAGATGGTTTCTGTGGTGCGTTGTGGGTCCGTGGACACACACAGTGGATGTGCACACGCTGGCGGAGCAGGAAATGAGATGGGCCAATTAGATATGGTTGCCATTGTGAAGCCGAGGAGAGGAAACCCAACATGGCAGTGCATTAGTCAAAGAAGCAGGAGAGCTGTGACACTGACGATGGGCTCAATGGGCCTAATAAGTGATTATCTCCCTGCATATTTCATCCAGCTCCATGTTAATAACTGTTTATGAGATTAACTGATGGCTGCAGCGGACAAAACAAAGAGGACGTCAAACGCAGAGCTGTACCATCGGATAATTATGGAAATGTTAATAGAAAAAACAACATTTCCATTTTTTTACTGCTCCTCTTTGTATTATAGAACATAATACACAATATGTCATCATAAAAACATATTTTTATATTTGATTCATGAGACACTCCTGTTTGAGACACGTTTACAGTTTTTTTTAAAAGGTTTTCAGTTCAGACTAAAGGCAGTTTTTGTGAAGGCGTTAATGTAAAGGGGATCAACAAGTGACCAGGGGGCGCTGCAGCTCCAGTGAGGGAAGCCACTGGACTAAGACAGTATGGAAACATGGTCAGACTTTACAGTGGCCCACGTTTCCTGTCTGATGGATGACACGGAGCAGATATTAATACAGCAGCAGAACAAATGACAGACTCTTCAGGCTTAATTACACACACTGTCTGCACTGCACCACCGCTAAATGAAGCTGACGCCTGTCTGTAACCACGTACTGGCCAGGTTTTCTATTGTGTGTCGTCGGATTATTTGTGGATTTTCTCCATGTGGCAAACCAAAAATGTTGGACTAGTTCCTGCTGTATATAGGACTGAGGTTGATTTTTACCTGAGCGAGCACAAGCTCCGACGCCTCAGTGTTAACCGTGGCTCGCTGAATGAAGAGTCAGCATTATTGCACTGGAATTATTTTTGTTTGGAGAGGGTAATAACGCCGCCTCCTACTGAGCTGAGGAACTGCTGTCTTTTGTTCTGCCTCTTCCTGGAGCTCCTGCTCCCTCTTTAATATGGCTGCTGTTTACGTCTGCGTTCGGTGCTGGCTCCAGTGCAGGGCCATCCATTTCCCTCCTTTTTGCCGTCTCTTTATCACATGCAGCCACGGTCTTCCTTCCTTCCTTCATCCTGTTCTTGTCTCTTCGTTCACTATTGGCTGGCTCTCTGCCAATCACTAATGCTCTGACATCAGCCTGCTTTCAACTTTGATGAACCACATTTACTAATTTTTCCCTCTTTTCCTCTGACAAGTCAACAACATCAATAAGTCTTTTTTTATGAGGGAGGGTCTGGGGACGTGTTTGGACAACTTCTCCATCCTTTGTCTCCTTTACTTTCAGTCACATCACCTTCATGTCCTCCTCCACTACTTCCATGAATCTACTCTACTCTCTACTTGTTCTCGTCCTTCTGCCTGGCAACTCCATCTCCGTCTCGTCCACAAAGATACATCCAAACTCTCTCCGTCTAGTTTCTGTACGCCTGTCCCCTGTGATCCTGTCTTTCCTGATCACTCCCAAATTTTAAAAATTCAACATCTTCAACCCAGCTCTGGCTTTTAAGAAGTCCCTTTATGTCTTTTACAGAAACTTTTCATACGGGAACCCACTTTCCAGAGACCCCAAACTGTTACGACCCAGTTTAAAATCATCCACACTGAGAAAATTATAGTTGATTTTATTGATATGAAGATAAAACTGGACGACAGGAAGTCTCCAAAATATCTGCTCCTGATAGGTTTGTCTAATTGTCTACACAAACCAATGTCCTAGCATAAATTCTTTCAAAAAAAAGGTCATATATAACAGATGGAAAACATCACATTATTAATTCACAGGTACTTTGTAATGAATCAAATTTCAAAAATTAATCATCCTAACATTTTTACTTTTTTTTCCACATGTTTAAGGTCAAAACGTCAGTGAAGAGCCTCCTCCACCTCACAGAGTGTCCACCAGTCCTCCATCAGCTGATCATCAGAGAGGACCCCCGTGTCGTAGCAGCAGTCTCCAGCCTCCCTCCACTCCAGCTCTGCCCCGTCGCTTCCTGCCTCCACAGCCGAGAAGTTCTCCAGGAGGTCAGCATTCTAACACAGTTTTAAACATGAAATGAAATAAAAACAAATGTGGTTGATGATAATTTTTATCACCACTATTTGAAAAGTAACTGTTAAAGATGTTTATTAGCAATAGCCCAGGAAACCCATCGACAACTGCAGCAGTTTTACTACATTAATACATCCAGGGATTTAACATCAAGCACCAGCTTCCATGGGCCTTTATAACTTCCACCAGCTCTTTATACCGGTTTAATATTTTTTCAATCACAGTAACAAGGGGCTTTAAACAGCGTTTAAGCTTTTAATGCCACGTGTGACAGAGCAGCATAAAACACAAGGACCAGACATTAAACACGATCCCCGAGCTGCTAATAAATGTTGATGAAGCTTCGAGGTCACACTGTCCCAGCTGACGCTGCGTGAGCTGTTCACATGAGGTCACACACACACACACACACACACACACACACACACTCTCTGACAGTGAAGCTTTTCACACACGGAGGTGAAACTCCACCGTATCTCTCACTCCACTCACTCACTCTGATCACTTGTCTACAGTGTTGAAAAGGGTCCGATTAAATGCAGAACATAAACTCCTGACGTCTACGGTGACATAAAACGCCTTTGTTTACATTCCGGCCGCCACATCACCGTTGAATTGTTTCCGACAGCAGCGATAAATCAAGTCTGACAGCGCAGAAAAATTCACACGTGGTGAAATTGTTTCATGGGTCCCGAGGAATCTCTGTCTTGGTTTCAGTCGCTGTGCAGTTCATCCAGGAGCTACCTTTAATCTGCAAAGTAGATTCAATTTATGTCTCCTTTTATGAAAGGACGGTACAGGATCATAAATTTTATTAAAGACACTTATACCATAAAGGTCCTGCTGTGCTGCTGCTGAAATGTTCAGGCCACCAGTGCTTCCACCAAACGCTGCTAACATTTTCAAACTGAATTACACTGGAGCAGTACTGACATTTATACCAGCCTTACAACCACAAATTACTCCAGTCCTTCGTGGTCAGTTATTCCCTTCACTCTATACATTCCATTGGACAAAGATTCTTTTATACGCCAGGACTTTAGCCACAAAAATGAAAGAAAAATACTGAGAACTGCAGAAATATCGTTTTTTAACATTTCAACATGAATGTACTTCAGCTAAGAAGCAGGTTTGATTTGGGTCCAATTATCTGGCCCACATATGGTTATTACCAGGTTTGCAATCCAGGCTAAGCCCAGTTTTCACCATCCCTGGTCCGACAGACAAATGCCGGTACAGTGAGGTGCTGCTGGCTGAACAGATGACAGAGTCAGACTAGCATAAAATAACATTTAACTCAAAACTACTGCAGTGTCTACATTCTCGCTCGGCAGCCGGCGAGGCTGTCGACTCACAGACGTGTGCTATCACTGCAGTCTGTTTATAGAATGGCTGGGAAATTGTCACTAACAGAGAAGTAGCAGTTGTGTTGATTGGCTTCAGGAGAGAGTGTGCAGACTTTACACCAGTCAGTGCTGTTAGAGGAAGTTCATTGGCTCCATATTTGGTTTCAGGTATAAAGACTTTGTCCTTTATTTGTGTAAAGCTGTCATTAACTGTGAATTATATGGAGATTTTTTGGGATCAGAGGCTTTCGCTTCTGTTACAACTCAAATTATTTTCTTTTTAAGTCCTGCCTTCTTGCACTACTCTCTGCAAAAAAAGAAAAAAAAATCAATTTTTGTATTCACTGTTATCACGCTCTTCTTCCTCAACGATCCATATTTCTACCCTGTGGAAAGAGGAGTTTGTCTTAAAAACTGCATGACATCAAGTCATGATCAAAGAGAGATGCCTGACCTGAAAAAACAATATTTTTGAATGTATATATTTTTGGTCTGAAGTGTGTCACAGTAAGAAGTCCAGGGGAGCTGAATGTTCTGTTTCTGTTTGACCGAGTCCCACCTCACAGCGGGTGGTGGGGGGTGGAGGGTGGAAATGAAAGCAGAGGGGTAACGGAATGATTGACGAGTGAACAGACATAAAACTCAAGAAAGAAATGGGTGAGAAAATGTGTGAGATAGAGGGGTGGGCAGGGGAGGATTTTGATTTGGTGCAGTGAGACTTGAGGTTGTTCAACACAATGTTGCCTGAAACTCTGGGACCTTTTTAAAAGATACTCAAATGTTTGTTGTTGTTGTTTTTCTTCTTCTCATTCTGAAAGTTGGCAGGAAGGAGTTCCAGCGCAGTTCAGACGTCACGCGTTCACTGCCGTCCTCGCCGAAGAGGCTGGCGGTGGTCCCTCCAAAACCACAGTCCCCAGGTAACAGTTAATTATCCTGCAATAAACTACATTTTATTTTATTATTCAGGTTCAGCTACACGTTGTATCTTAAAAACCTTTAGATTTTTAAGATACTACATGTAGCTGAACACAGAAAAATAAAATAAAAAAAATATATAAATGAATAATAAAAATCTGAAAAATAAGGTCAATTAATGGTCAGTTGAAGATAAACAGTTGATGGAGTTGACACACACTCAAACACACACATCCACAAGTATATTCTTTATCATCTGTTTTCTGCTAAGTCACCAAAGTGTTGTTGTCTTTTCTGTTTAACTTTTGGTCCGTTTTAGTCACGACCGACTCTTTGTTTGTCTGCTCTCACCTACTGTTCTCAACCGAGTCATTTCTTTTTACACCAGTCTTTGTTGAGGGCTAGTTCACTTTCTATCATTCCTTTTTTTTTTTTTCTCGCTTTTCTACCAAACTGTCAAAACAACAGTCGTGCTCATGTCTCACCAGAGGCTGCTTCATCTGTAGAAACACCTCATCTGGCTGCAAACGGAGGGAGATTTTTGATGCCTACAGTAATTCATGTTCTTCTCGTTATGATCTGAATGATACAGTCTCACCAGTCCTTTCTCCAGGCTCTTAATCTCATAATGTTGAAAGGATTTCCTTGTGGAATTCCAGAAGGTCTCTGCAGTTTTTTTTTTCTTTTTGCTCATGGGCGAAGGTGCTGCACCAGCCTGAGTGTCAGCACAATGTCAGTGAGTTGATGCCAAACCAGATTTCCAGCGGTGAAGATGCCGGCCTAAAAATACACAGACAAAGACAATCGCTCCTCACCGAGGTGTGAAGTCACCTTCTCTCCTGGTTTCTCTCCTCCTCTTGTTCTACTTTCACCGACGCCGCCTTCACAGAAACCTTTTTACCTGATTTTGTATTCACGTTTCTCCCGTTCTCATTTCTCAGGTGGAGTCTACTGATGTCATAGCATCTGTGTGTGTGTGTGTGTGAGAGAGTGTGTGTGTGAGCTCACGTCCTACAGATTAGTGTATTTCAGAAACGTATCTTTTTACCTTTTTATGCTTAAGCTTCTTTATTTCTTTAAATGCAAATAGGACTCCACGTATGATTTAACCTTCTAATAAAATTGAATATTGAACAATAATAATTGTTTTAGTTTACAAGCTGAATCAGAATATTCTACATCCCAAACAAAGTAACACGAATTTGTCACACATTTTTCTCCTTGTTTTGTTTCTTTTTTTTTTTTAATGTTTTAGTGATGATGCTAATAATAACAGAATTTAATGGCTGGACAAATGTAATATTCTTTTAAGCTAAACCAGAGCTATAAATCTATGTTGACTATATTTTAAGGATCAGCTTTAACTTCAAGGTTAAAGGTTGGGAACAATATTCATGGGTTCATTATGTTCCTCACAATAAAACAGTTTTTGGAGTTTTTATAAAATCCTAATATAATAAATCAATATTGGATCAGAATGATACCAACGCATGGGGAAAAAAGTCTTTTTGACTCTAACGTTGTTGACGCCCCCGCAAATCTCCTCTGAGCGGCTCCAATCTAAAAAAGAACCATTATAACCCTTCACCACCGTCCGCTGACATCCATCCATCCATCCCCTCTTTAACTGGATCTGTTGTCTCTGCTCTCCCCCTTCCATTTACCCGTGACCCTCATGCTGCTCCCCTCATATTATTCTCCCTTTTCATTCGCTCTGACTCTCAGCAATCTCTCACTCGTTACTTTCGACCCTGCACCCCAAATGCAGCCTCAGGTTGTCATGGAAACCACACCCCGTGCTTCACTGAGCCAGAATGAGATGATGTTGAGGCAGGTGACGTGGAGCCACGGCGAATTTTCCTCCATTGTGTGCTGAGACAATCTCGCCCTCACGTGGCCTTGTTTGTCCGGGTATTTACATCATGGCGGTATAATTGGAAAGTAATTGACTTTATCCTTAGTCTAAATGTCCTGGCTGCTCCTCAACACAGTCTTAATAGAATTACATTTCCAATTCCAGAGGAAGAATAGCCTTTGGATCGACACCGTGTTCTGGCGCTTTACGTTCCTTCCATCACAGTAGTTATTTTTACAAACACACATATTCCACGATTATACATTTTTGTTCTATCATCTCTTGGTGTGGATCACATTCATCTTGAAATTACATGGTCCGTGGCGACAACGACCAGACTGGGAATAACTGGGAGGCTTCCTCCGCAGAGAAGATTCAATTAACCTTCCATCATTTATCACGTGAACAGAGTCATTAGCAAAAGGTCAGGTCAAATCTCCGCAGATTCAATCCTCAACAGTTTCATTCTTACACATATATTCAGTATGTCCTGGTTCAGATTCAGTGTTGGCGTAGAACTGCTAATAAGAGGCCTTGTTTCCCTTTAATATACATATAAGGAACACCTGCTGATGCTGAATGGATTTGCTAAAAGATCAATTCTCTTTGTTTGCTTTCTCTCGCTACAGTCCAGTCGGTGCAGAGGCTCGCAGCTGCAGTGCGAGGGTCGGCTCCCCCGGGGTCTCCTCGCTGCGTGGCCCCCCTGAGGCAGCAGCAGGAACAGCAGGAGAGTCTGCTGAGGGAGAAAGAGGAGGCTCAGCAGAAAATAAGGCAAAAGCAAGCAGAGGAGAAAGAGAAAGGAGAGCAGAGGGAGGAGGTGAGTGACAGCACCAGATTTGAGTTCACCTCAACTACACCACTGGTGTTGTTTCTTTTCTCTTTTTTATGGTTGATCCTGTGTCTTTTAGTTTCAGTGGCTGCAGGGACACTGTGAACAGCAGGGGAGACAGCTGAGAGTTCTCAGAGAAGAGCTGAAGAGGACGTCCTTGGGTCTGGAAGCTTTTATCATCACCACTCAGCATTACTGCCTGAAGGTATCCAACCATACATGTAGTAATCATTGTCTCAAAACATAAGAGCAATGTTTTTCTATTCCAAAGAAACCGTTTTAGAGAGTCCTCTTTTCTAGCTTTTGAATGAAGAAAAAGGTTTTAATTAAAGGAAGTACATTTGGTAACTATTCTATACACTGCTTGCTCTGTGTTTCTTGCAGGGGGCACTAAAATTGTTGTAAATGAAGTTCTAAATGTGAAGCAGTAATCCCAACTCCAGTCATAGTCTTTCGAGCTACCGCCTGATTCTTTCTACAGTGGGCCCCAAAGTAAGGGGCGGGCCGCTGCACAGGGTGCACAGCAAGTCATATTAATTAAAATAATTTTGAAAAAAAAATCTTGTGTCACAGTGTGAAAATGACACTGTTTTGAAATTGTATTTAGATTTTTCTGTGAGGATATGAGTTTTTAGGAATTAAAGTTTTAAAGCAATAGCTGTGAATCTGTTGACTTTTGTGTACAGGGGAGTTTGGAAACCGTGCTTTAAATAATCCTCCTTGGCTTACATTATTGCCACCTACTGGCTATTTTTTTTCACTGGAAACATTTCCACTTCGGGTAAATGAAATTGAGAACAGTGCTGCGTTTCTGCAGATGAACACATCATGAATGGACATACCATAATAGCCATGGTAACAACAGGATGTCCAGAGATCTCAGTGCTTTTACACCATACTGTCCCTGACCTTTACAGTTACTCCAGCAGTAAGTCACCAGTAACACGTGCACTCAAGACGACATGCAGTATTTAACACCTTGAGGTGAGCATGGTCAATGAGCTGCGTGGTGCTCAAGAGTGATTGCCACAGTGTGAGGTTCTCCAGAGTTCACTGTGTCACTGAGCGGGCTTCAGTCTGCCCCTGGTGTCAGGGCCGACGATTTAGCTCCCGTGTTCCTCCTCCTCTCTGCTGAGGGGACGGTCTGCCCGGTTTATAATCACTATCGGACCGTCCCTGTGACTAGACCCCAGTGCACATTTAAAAGAAGTATTGGTCGTGGTGATAGGCCCTTGCGAGTAGGTTTGCGCTCCCTCTGCTGGCTCCAGTCGGTATAAGAAAACGATTGATTTTTTTTCAGGTTTTGTTAGAAATTAATTTACATAAAATAAATGGGACGAAAGACGGATTAGAGAGATACTAGATGGATGTGTAATGTTTTATAAAGCAGTGTACATGCATATATTAATGCAGTGTTAATGTTTTATACTTTTTTAGAATAAAACTACAGAAGAAAATGAGAGGAAATTGTCAGTGGAGATGCAGAAGCTCAAAGAGGAAATGGGTGAGTGGAAACCAGCATTGATTAATATTAAATGTCAGGAAACAGAAGGTGATGGTAGTAAATGGCAGAATTTATAGAATTAAAAAGTTTGTTTTGCACTGAGACCATGAATCGTTCAGTAGTTTTGGAATGAAAGATTCTGAAGTTTAAAGTTTACTTATAATAAATACATTTAGAATTTATAAATTATTTATTTATATGCAGGTTTGAATAATAACAGTAACACACTGTATGTGTGTGTTTTAGATATAATAATAATAATTATCATCATTATTATTATTATTATTATTATTATTACACTTCAACATTATGATAGGTGATAATATTAAAGTGGTAATAATGTCTACTCCGTACACAGCCTATAATTCCATGCGTTGGGAGAGACTCCATCGGGAAAAGGCTGCGCTGGAGTTGGCGTTCAAGCAGGAGCTGCAGGAATTACAGCTGCAGCAGGAGGCGGAGCTTGTTTCTGTGGAGGAGGGGCTTCGGAAGTGTCACTCAGCAGAGAAAGAACACCTGAGGGCGGAGCACCGGTCAGAGATGGAGGAGATAAGGACTCAGCAACAGGAACAGGTCAGAGAAGAAGTGGGCTAGATTTAAAAAAATAAAATAAAATACAGGACCCACTGCTCCTCCTTTGAGTGGTTCTCAAACTGTGGAACAGGTACCACTAGTGGCCCATTAGGATTGTGTGTTTAGTTTAAACAAAGTGACATTTTTAGAGTCCTAATGTTACCACTACCTTTTCACTCCTCAAAGCCGCTCTCTTGTGTTATAATCACAACAGAACGGTGTGACTGATGCTGCACACTGTACCCTACGGGGATGTTGTTGTTATAATGCAGTGGAGAAGAGGAGAAACACATTTGCTCTGTTTGAGGAAACACATTAGCCGGCTGCACTTGACAAACACTCGTGATTGTTTGTGTGACAGCTGGCAATTGAAGGAACCCCTGGAGGAACTGTATCTTGTATGATTTATAAATTCTGTTTCTTCATACCGACGTGCTATGAATGTAAACGTTCCAGGACATGAAACCCAGTGCACGGCCACCATTGGCCTCCAGACTGGACTTAGGAAATGCTGGGTTTGAGTAATTGAAAATATTGGCGTGCATTTGTGTGTGTGCGTGTGTGTTAGATGGAGGAGATGACGGTCAACCACCACGCAGCCATCCAGGAGCTCAGAGACATGCATAACATCACAATGGCAACGCTGCATGAGGAGCACGCCCGAACTATGAGAGGTTTGATAATGGTTCTTAAGTAAATTTTAAAAAGCAAAAAAAAAAAAAAAAACATACATTTGTGGGATTGAATTCCACATTGTGCCATTTGCATCACTTTTTACACATACAAAGGTCGAGGAGTAGTGAGAAAGCCTAAAAACTCAGAGTGAGTGATTCCTTTTAATCTCAGATGACCTCATCGCTGTTTTGTTTTGTTTTTTTAGAAAGTAACGATGACAGCAGTTGTGGAGAGAGGACGAGATGGAAACGATTCCTTGTATTTATTGTGGTTTTGAATGTGTGTTTAGATTTGAGGAAGGCTCATGAGCAGCAGAAGGTTCTTCTGGAGGAAGACTTTGGAAAACTTCGACTTTCTCTGCAGGTAAGCTGTTATCGTTACTGACACGGCTCATCACCAATGACGTCTCCCACCACTGACTGTGTCTCTTCTGTCTGTTTCCTTTCGATGTGTCTGTGTTGTGTTCTCACTCAGGATCAAGTGGACACGCTCACCTTTCAGAACCAATGTCTGAGGGACAAAGCCAAACGTTTTGAAGATGCTTTGAGGAGGAGCACAGATGAACAGATAGTTGTGAGTTTAAATCCAGGCAAACCGAAAATAATTTCAATTCAAGCACAGAAGTGAATTATTACTGACATCTAGGTGCGGGCCAGATAAGGGGGGTTTCTGGGCCAGAAGTGGACTCCAGGCCAAGAGTTTGAAACCCCTATTTTAGAGAGTCTAATGGTGCTGTATTTACTATTTTGTTTTTTGGTCAAAGCACGTTGTTTCAAAATGTTGACTTAAAAAATAAGATAGTTCCATGTTAGTCTTCTCTGTTCCTCAAACAGGAGGCTTTAGCTCCATACAAACACATTGAGAAGGATCTGAAGAGCTTGAAGGAGATTGTAGAAATGAAGAACCAGCAGATACACCATCAAGAGCAAAAGATCTCTGACCTGGAGAAAGTGGTAGGAACAAATAGGCCCTCTGTGTCTAACAGACTCCATTATGGATAAATACACATGTGCACACTGGTGAACTCTGATGTTGTGGTTGTGTTTTACTTTTGAGCAGGCCCATAAGAATGTGTTCCTTGAGGAGAAGGTTCAGGTTCTGCAGCAGCAGAACGAAGATCTGAAGACTCGTATTGACAAGAACCTTGTTCTGTCCAGGTAGGATGTGTGCAGTGGTCAATGTTGCTTCTATATGGACTTAACGTTAGGGCTGTCAAAATTAGTTTAGGCGATTAGTTTATTAGCTTTTAAGTAGCCCAATGGATAAGGCACTGCCCTAGTTAAAGTTAAAGTTACATTTTTGAATATATTTTTTATATTTGTTTACATCTTTCCGTATGAATATTCTGTATTTGGATTTGTCAATTTTTATTTTTTTTAAGATGTGCAATTTACCTCAACTAATCACAGATAATCGTGATTAATTGTTTAACCATGATTCATCCACAGCTACCCTGTAATTGATCCAATTAAAAACTCACTCCTTATGTCTATAGGAGTTCCATCTGTGTTTTTTTTCTCTGCAGGCAACTGTCAGAGGAGAATGCCAACTTGCAGGAGTCTGTGGAGAAGGAGAGCAGTGAGAAGAAACGTCTAAGTCGAAACAATGAGGAGTTGCTCTGGCGTCTCCAGACAAGCCCCCTCGTGTCCCCCGCCTCCTCCCCACTGCACCGCTCCTTCTCTACCTCACCTGCCCCGTCATCTCCTTTCTTCTCTTCCTCCCCTGTCGCAGGATGTGACTCCCCACCTCACTGTCCCGGCTGTTCCCAGCACTTTCAGTACTGCTCTCCTTCCCACAGAGCTGTCAGTAATCAAAGTTTCTCCCCAGGTCCGGCCACACCCACTCACAGAGCAGGAACCAATCAGAATTATTCCCCCGGCCCGGCCACGCCCACACACAGGGCATCAACCAGCTGCAATTTCAACTCTTTACAGAGATAAACTCGCAGCATTTTTTAATCAAAAAGCCCCAAATTAATCTTTTTTTTTTTACTTTTTACTCTGGTGAATGTGGTGACGTGGGCAGATACAGTCCATTTAGTCTTAATGCCCCGGGATGAATTAACACCCAATGTACTGAAGCTAAAAATGCCTTCAGCCCACTTATGTGTCCGTACATGTATCACAGGTGATTGAAATGCACAGGTGTAGATGCTGAATAACAGAGTAGATACGTAGTTGAGATCTGCATGCATAGGTTTTAGTCCCTCATAGAAATCAGAAAAGAAGTAGCACACACTCATGTCAACACACTGAAATGATGAATGTCAGTCCCGAGTCATAAACTGAATCAGCATTCGGCTGGCAAACCCCAAACGAAGCGCCTTACACTTTAGTTTTTCTGCCATCTCAAGAGCCGAAAAACCTACCAACAATTTAACTTTCGCTAAAATAATTGGTTTTTAAAATCAGATGAAATGTTCCTCTGCCTCTTTTGTGTGTATTTTCTAGCTAACGTTGGTATTTTACATACTATGTGGGGAAATGTCCTTGTAATTGCGAGGTGTTCCTACGTGAGCTACTCTCCACTTTTACAAACCCTCAGGTTAACTTTAGAGAATTATACCTGCCATTTTAAAAAACATTACCTCAGCGGGAATGTGCAGTTTGTAGCTGGCTGCAACAACATCCACAGCTGCTATAGGAACATAGAAAAACAGTACCAGAGCACTCACAGTAGAAGGGAAACCTAGAGTAGAGGTAGTTGTGAGGTTTTTTTTGTGTAAATACTTAATTTATTTGTTACATGGATTTTGCTACTTAAGCAGGCATGTACTGTGAAAGTCTTCCAGACTTAATGTGAAACCTGTTTCTGTGACGTGTCTTTGTCTTAGGATGTGGTAAACATTAATGGCATAGAGATCTTAGGTGCAGTGAAATGTACGAACGCCATTGACAGAACAGCTGGTGCCGTTCTTTAAAATGCAATAAATATAAAATTGCTACTCTGCTGCTGTAACTTTAGCAGAAAAAATAATGAAATCTTAGGTGTTTTTTATTCTTTTATTTACATAAGAAACAATTTAAAAATGAATTCCTGAAATTCAATTGTGATAAAGGCATAGTAAGTTTAAAATTGCTGACTTTAAGATAGTATGTGCCTAACATACAATGTGCCCCAGGTCACATGGCTATTCATCGGGCTGCATAGCAAGAAACAGTGTAGAAGACAGCATGTTTGAGCCAGTAGACATGGCTTGTGAAAGAACCGTTGATACGGTGGCTTTTTATTATCTTCTTAGGTAACGTACCAACTTTTCTGGGTTTGGGTTTGTACCACTAGATGAGGATGACGAGACAATAAGCTATGTAGATATAGAAACAAATACAGGTCTGTTTACCTCTTGTGATGTAGTAGAGTAGCGTAGCCCCTTTCTCGACCTGTACTAACCTCCGACTTTACTCTGTATCCCCTTTTTTATACGTATGATGTTTCATTTTTCTGTGATGCGCTGACGTTCACTCAGCTGTCAGTGTACAGGAAGATATTGTTCAGGGAATTATTTTCTAAATTTAGATTAGGAAATAATTTCAATAACTTTTATAAAACTTGGCTACAGAACATATACACAGGATATTTCCTGAGATCATTTTCCACTGGTATACGAAGCCACCTGTGATGTACACCACAAAACAGAATCATTTTCATACAGTCGTACAGTACTGCCTCCTGTGCTGTATTCAAATTATTTACTTACCCTCAGGGTTCTGTCCCACTAAGCAGTTTGTATGTGGGACCTGTGTGAGAGCTCAGTGCAGTACTGAGGTACAAATAAGTAAGTTACTACATCTTTAAACGTATAAATATGGGCTACTGTACATAAATGAGGCCAGTGTGGAGCTGAGGGTCAGTGTGTGTTCTGTTGGCTGTAAACAGGTACATTTTACAGTAATAGGAAGTGGGTTTGAGTTTAAGTTTTCTAGACTGTATACAACAAATGAACGGTATTGTCTAATGACAGGTTTTAGCCACAAAGAGAAGCCAAAGAAGTTGCAGTACTGCAGCAACTTCTTTGTCTCCACTCTGAGAGGTTGCAGCATTTTTTTTCTCCATATGACATTCCAAATTCATAGGTTATAAAGCCATTACTGATTTTAATAATAATAATAATAATAATAACAACAATACATTTTATTTGTAATGCACTTTGATGCAAAATTTCTTAAAAATTGTCATATTTTTGCTCTGGAACCTGTTTAAAATATATACACAAAAAAGTACATGATGAAAGCACAGCATGACTGTCCAATAGGAGCCTAATCTCACAGGCAACAGTGAGAGTTACTGTGTACATGCTGGCATCCTGAGCTACTTAAACCAGTGCAGCACAGTTTTTTCCCCACTTCTGACTGCAGACTTTTCTGTCCAATTCCTATATACAGTCTAGAGTTTAGATGCTCTCACGTCATGTTCTAAAAAAATATTAGAAATTGCATGGAGGGAAGGGTGATTCATAGGGCCTCGAAATTCCTTGCAACCTTCCTGCAAAGATGCTTTCTTACTTGTTGAGTAGCCAGCATGTAAGGTCATTTCCTGGATTGTTTTTTTTTTTTATGTAATAGGTAGATATAAGTAGATTTTTAAATGTGACACCAGCACTTTTAATGGTCACGAGGAAGTCTGTAAAATTTAAAACAAACAAACAAAGGAATCAGCATTGATCCTGCAAATGATTTTTGTATGATACATACACAGGGTCAAACGTTCATAAAAGAATGTGAAAAACTGAACACACAGCATTTGAGGACCACGTCTCGATCCTCATTCATTTTAGCCACTACTGATGACTTTGAGAATGTCTTTCTGTAAAAAGCAGCTGCAAGAACATACCAGTCAGAAAGTCACTGTGTTCTCACACCTTTCACCAAAATTTCTCCTGGAGTGCAGTCAATGAGAAGGCAACTAAAAGTGTTTACACAAAATTGATTAAATTCACTGATTCTTTTTTTAACTCAAGTTTCACCGTTGAATAATTTTCTTAACAGTAAACTGGTATTACCATAGCACTTTGATGTGTCCTGTGGACATTTATGTCTCATTCTGAATGTCAAAAGAAATGTAATGACTGCATTTTCTATTAGCCATACTTGTAATTTTGTTTAAATTACACAATGTAGCAGCCATTTAATATGTAGCACTAATGTTTCCTTGGTCAACTCTCACCACGGGTTAAGCTATGAAGTTACCCTTAATGGATTTTCTCCAGAGGCAAAAAAAAAAATTCCTGAATTTGTGCTGACACTTAAATTGTAATTTGAATGTAAATACATTTACATTAGTTCCGTCTTAGTGCACCAACGAAGTAATAGCAGCATGTTTTTCCTGTCGTTTTTAAATTTTTTTTTTCATTCTCCCTTTCTCATGTATTACCTCTCTGCGTTTGATAGTAAAATTTTTCAAAAAGTACGTGGGGTGGTAGGAAACCCCGAGGATGAGGTGAAAGATGGTTTAATACGAAATGTATTCACAAATATCTTTGAGAGAGGAAAAAATTAATAAAATGTTTGAGAAAATGTATGCAGTGCAGGTTTTATTTTTAATGGTAGCAAATGTAAAATGTGTGCAAAGGGACTCCTGATTGGATAGCACGGGTAGTACAGGATGTAAAGGTGGTGCAGACTATTCGTTCTGATTCACCACCTGTGTGACACTTCCATCTCTAACTGTTTGGTCTAGTAAATCATGCAGTTTTGCATTGTTACATTGTCATCTAATGTCACCTGAAAAATAATTAAAAAGTGACCACGGTCACCAGGACCACAAACCTAATTATTTTCCTCAAACAAGTCAACACCACCATACATACCTTTTCTGCCACTCCTATCATTACTGTACGACAGAAATTAAAATTCTGGCAATTTTAATAAGCATGTTTGTAACCAAATGTGATCACTTTTTTTTTCTGGGTTTTTTTCTAATTCGTTACTCAATTTTGCATTTTCAGAACAAATATAAAAACAAGTTTTTGAATTAATATTGTTTTTATTTTATATTATTATATTTAGCTTCTCATCAACAAACTCATGTGGTATGGGATAATAAATGATGATTAGTAATAGCAGGTCCACGCAATAGAAAAAAAAAAAAAAAAATCAGTGTGCTGGTTACAGCTTGAAATTACAATCATTAAAGACGTGCGTACTTTCAGCATTAAACATAGATTATGTTACATCAATATTCAGCAGCAGTGTATCACACCCGGTGTTTTAAGGTCGTCACTTTCGCATGAAGTGATTGATGATATCCAGGGGCACAGGGAAGATGATGGTGGAGTTCTTCTCTGCTGCGATGGTGCTGAGCGTCTGCAGGTATCGAAGCTGCAGGGCTGACGGAGATTCTGCGATCACCAGGGAAGCTTCCTTAAGAGCACGAGAGGCATTCATTTCACCCTCTGCTGCAATCACCTGTATGGGAGAAATGAAGGCAGGGAAATGTTTTACTTTTGTGCATTTTCTCAAATTAACCTGCTTAAATCATCGACTTTAAACATAGGGACTTTTTATATGACAAACTTGTAAAGTAAAGTAGAGAACTATTTGTAGTGTGAAAACAGTTGTTTGTTTTTTTCTTGTTTGATGTACTGACCTTTGCCCTGGCCTCTCGTGCAGCCTCTGCCTCAGCAGCCATGGCCCTCTGGAGCTGAACTGGCAGTTTCACATCCTTAATCTCCACACGCTCCACCTTGATCCCCCAGTCGTCTGTCGCTTCATCCAGGGTGCTCTGGTAAGACAGAACAATAAACCTCATCTTAACTCACTTTTTAAGTAGGAAGCCGGGGTGGAAAAACAGAATCAATAGATAATTAACCAAATAGAAATAATTCTAATTGTGATAGTGAATGATCTTTGAGGATTTAAATTAGTTGGCTGGGTTTTTTTTACCTGCATGCTGTGAGCAATGCCCTCACGGTCAGACAGAAGCTCAGCCAGGTTTTTAGTCCCCAGAACGTTTCTGAGCGTAGTTTGTGCCAGAAGACGAGTGGAGAAGTCAGCATTAGACACATTGGCTACAGAAGCGATGGGGTCATTGACCCTGAAGTACACCACTCCATCTACACACACAGTCACTGAGTCCTTGGTCAAGATCTAGGGAATGAAATAAGTGACATTTTTCATGTGCATGCTTAAATATCCTTCTTCTGTCATTCCTGTGTTGTTTCCAGGTAATCTACCTCCTGTGGTGGGATGTCAAAAGAAACTGTTCTCAGATCGACCTTGACAATGGAGTCGGTACATGGCAAAACAAAGAAAATCCCTATGGACAAAAAAGATATGGTACAAATGTTTTGCTACTTTACTGTTCCGTACAGGTATACATTATTATTTTTATTTATTGCACATGTCGAGCTGTTTTTCTTAAATGGTTCTAGAATTACCTGGCCCTTTTGCCTTCCTGTCTGTGATACGACCCAGTCTAAAGATGACGGCTCGTTCATATTCCTGGACAATCTGTAAAATTAAATGTTGTAAAAAAATGTTTTAATTAATGTGATTAAGTGATTGATAACACACAAAAAAAAACATATCTAACATGTTGGCTATTGTAATTTGTAATGTTAATCTGACAGATTACAACAAAATCTGAGTCCGGTCCAGTTAATCTGACAGATTACAACAAAATCTGAGTCCAGTTAACTGTAATGTAGTTTGAAGATAAACAAATGAAGGCATTATTTATAGTTAAAGAAATACATGAAAACAATATCTATAAACGTTAAAATAGCAATATAAAAAAATAATAAAATAAAACAAAATAATATATAATATAATTAAAAATGTTTAAAAATAATAAACACAATTCAGTTTAAAAAAACCTTTGAACTGTTTAGAAAAGTAAATGTAGCCTAAACCCAGCTAAAACTACATTAGATATACTTTTGTCACAAAAGAATCGAAGCCATTCAATAGGGGTTATAAACAATTAGATCATTAGCATACATAGATGCAGTATATATGCATCATATATCTCCCTGCTCATCAGCAGTACTATTTTGTTTACAATACTAAGCTCACTCACCTTCAAACAAAACCATATGGTAAATGGAAAAAGTAAGATCGCGAATAAACCAGATAGTATCACAATAAACCATCCGACACAGCCCAGAGATCCCGTCTGTTCAGCTGGGGAAAGAGAACAGAGCAATGACATCAATTAACTTTGGGTATAACGAGATGGAAACTATATGTGCTTGTTTATGGACCTATACAAAAAGAATTTAATATATAAATATAATATAAATTATTATATAGTTGGCGTACCAAAAAAGTATTTCTTTTTTTCAATTTTTACCACAAAAATGGACATAGC